AAACACCTTCTGTACGTATACATGCACGATGCGTAGTTTACTCGTGTTTGCTTGCTACCATGATTATGTAACTGTTGCAGGTTTAGGAAGTCACAAAAAAAGGTGGAGCGAGGAAATCACGTACAGTACAATGTACATGTACATGTACATGTGCAAGTGAACGTGGTCATGTGCACTGTGTCGTGCTACGTTATCTACAATGTCATGTACAATCATGTACATGTACGTGTACGTGTACATGTACGTGTACGTGTAAGTGCAGCATTGCGTGAAAGACGTGGCCACTCAACGTTTTATAAGCCAATTAGCACTTGACTGTGTCGGCTCCTCTCCTCAGTGTCAGAGATCATTAATTTTGCTCCCACGCCGCTAGATCACTATTACTTGTGTACATGTATACAGTAAGTAGTTTGATCGGTTTGCAGTACAGGTATGTTAGAAGGTGGAGCACGTACTGAGTTGACACTACATGATTGTAGTGCTAGCTGTCACCATCATATCACTACACTGCCACTGGCGTGGGAAGGTGCTCTTTGTAGACGAGGTTGGTGATGTCCCGACGCGGCCAGGATATCTAGGAGCGAACAAAGAATACAAGACTGACGCCGACGGTACGAGAACAGAAGTCTATACTAGATATCCTTAGCTAGAAAAACGCTAACGTAAACGCAAACCTTTCCGTACTTCGGATCGTTCAAGCTGACTTTTCCCTTAGCACAAAGTACGTTTTTGTTGAGACGAAGTAGTCGTGACAACCATGGCGATATGAATTTTCGTGGAAACAGGTGCGGGAAATTCAAAATTTTGAACCAGGGATTAGTTTGCTGTCGTTCCGAAAGAATACCTTGGCGAGGTCTTTTACTCTGGAATAGCAAAAGCACGGCGAAAATGAGTTTTCGCTGTTCCCAGATCCTTGGAAACCCTTTCCTAAACGCAGCACCGAAGACTGTAAGGGTTCTCCAGCTCCAGCACGTCTGGGAGAGGCCGATGAATTTCTTCCTCAGGAGTGCCGTGGAACTGGTCCTTTGTTTCCCAGATGGGATAGAGGGGAAAGGCACGAAGCAGAGGACGCAGAAATTGTCAACTGAAAGACAAAACTCGCCAAAAAAAGCTAAATGTCACAAGAGGAAGCAATCTCGACTCTCGATCTCATCTCGATCTGCACGACGTGCTTTTTATCTCCCGCCAGTTACAAAACAATGCGAGTTTTTGCATTTTTTGCAGAATTTCCATAACGAACGTCGGCCCGTTATTTTGAGCTCTGTAACGTTTTTCCGTTATCCGATAACGTCTTTTGTCACGGCTGGGAGTGAGTACCGTAAAGGTTAGCGTTATCGTACTTTTGCTAAGGATGTCTACTCTAAGACAACTCCCCTAGAAAGTAGGGTCAGAACCGGGTCTAACACCCATACGGTTCAGATGGTCGCAACCGACCGGTACTAGGGACCTTTCGCATTTGCTACGAAACGAATGCCAAACGAAAGTTTGATTCGGCTCGTAATCGTTTCGTTGAAAACAGATTTCAGGTTTCGCAAGTCGTCATGCAAATGTGCATGATGGCAACTACGAATACGGCCGCGGGCGCCGGTAGTTTGGCGTACGGGTTTTTACACGCACACGTGCATGGATCATGGAATCAAAGGAAAAATGTGTACCTTGCAAAACCTGTGTACCTATCCAAATAAATGTGTACCTGACGGATTCGGAGCGTGCCACGAATGAAGAGGCTTCCATTCGTGAAAACGAGTTCTCCGCAGGGACTCTGACGAATCCTCGAACCCAGGTGACGAATCAGCATTCGTTTCGTATCCGTACGCGGGGTGCGAAAGGTCCCTACTATACTACTGTATACTACTACTACTAGGGGTGTGCGAATAATGCTCGAAAAGGTCACCGTGTAACCATGGTAACCTAAAGCTAAGTACTTTCTCGCAGGTTTTTATCGTCGTGCGAGCGCAACGAATGTCTTGACTTGATTTGATCATATCCCCAATTCATTTCGCCAGGAACTTAACAATTTCATTCATCTTGGGCACCCTGTAAGAAGACCTTAGGGTCTGTTGGGAATGCCCAAGTAAAATAATAAAATACAATACAATACAATACAAAAAATTTGATCCCATGCATGCATGCATGCAGTCACGGGTGTTTGCAGTGCATGAACTCTGGCCAGTCGTCCCCGTACGCAAAATGCGTACGCATTTGTATTTACCGTTTTTTTTTTTTTTTTTTTTTTGATCTGAAATGTAGTCTTTGGCACCTATGATCAGGGGATGGCCCACGCCTGGTAAAAAAAACAAAAAAACAAAAAAAAAACGATGAGAAGTTGCGTACAAATCGTGTACAGACTAAACAGACTTTGGATTCGAACATAACAGAGTGGAAAACCGGAATCCGAGAAAACGATAACATGCAAAATCATGAAAAAGTGGGGGGGGGGGTACTGAAGCAGAACAGTAGCCAAACACACCACGGATAGTTACCGAAAGCACTCTGCAGCAGCAAGGACCACAGAAGCATCAGAGTCAATGACTCTCTGGCGGGCATCTTGAGACCGTGGCCTGCGGTGACCACGGAGGCTGGCATTGGAGGCACGAACAAGAGAAAAGGAAACCCTTGACCTAATAAAGGCAAGAAGTGAGGAGAAGGGCTCCTTTCTCTTGTCGGCGAGCATAGAGGCGACACGCTTGAAAAAAGCGGAGGCGGACTTGCCGTAGCCGCCGGAAGCGCTGAACACAATGGGAGAAAAAGACGCGTGTTCAACTTCCCGGACGCGTTCTTCGTACGCGCGCCTTTTCTCGGCCTCATGCTTCCGGTAGGTGGCTGTGATGGACTGTTGGCGGTTGGAGCGGGCGTGCGGGTTGAATACCCGGATGTCCAGTAGTGCCCGTTCGAAACGTCCACCCCAGACACCCGATGCGGCCACATCCAGGCGGGCACCATCCTCGGAGATGGCGGAGCGGTGACGGAAGGTCTCACCGGTTAGCGGCTGGAGATGTGGCTCGACCTGGACATCATGGGCCACTTCACGCAGGAGAGATGCGGTGAGATCCCGAAGGTCATTATGCCGCATGGCGGGGTAGCCACCAGTTGGGCAAGACAGCGCGTGTTCCGGTGAAAACGCTTTGCCGCACACACATTCTGTTGGCAGGCCTGGAGGGGTCCAACCATACCGTAGGCAGAGAGCGTCCCAGAACGCCTGCTTGTGTAGGTTGAAACCATACTGACGAAGGGGCCGACAGGTCAACCAGCTGGAGGCGCCCTTTTCAGCAGCAAGATTCAGGGTGCGCTCTGTGGTGCTGGTGGAGGTGGCAATGACCGAGGCAACCGCTTCCTTCGCCAGGCGCCGGGACTGGGAAACAATCTCTGCCTTCGCTGTGATGGTGGCAGCTGGGACGCCTTCTGCTGACTGATCTTGCTGGAGGATCTTCTGCACGAGAGACTTGGTAATATGCATAGAGTCCTGGAACTGGGAGGCAAGGGAGGATGGGTTGACAATCCCCAGCCCTCCGTCCCTGCACGGTAGGGCCAGCATGGCACGCTCGATGTCTCCTGGCGGGACGCGGTTGATGATGGCAGGGATGAATTTGGTACGGATTCTTTCCTCCAAAGGTGCGAGCAGGTCGGCCGTATTTGGCACTGTCCGGGCGACAAAGGACCACTGATGGCGAACTCCCTGGCCGAAGGCAGCAAATGCCGCTTGTGGTTGGGTGCGGGCGAACTCAGCCAGAACATCCACTTCGCGACACCACTCATCCACCTTGCCTGACACATATGCCGAACAGAATGTTGGTGATCCGAGGACGGCACCTAGGTGGCGACACCCATCCGACCGGATGTCTATGCTGGAGTCCTGGAAGATTTCCCTGGCTCGATCTAAGCACTCGGGCTTCACCAAAAGTATCGACTTTTTGGCGTTGATGTAGTATCCATAGGATGGACCTTCTTCTTCCAGGATGGACCACCACTTATTTGTATTTACCGTACATTTCCTCGTGTTTTGGGCAAATCTGAGCGGTACGACGCTGTCGAATTGGGCCTGAATTTGCCCTGAACCAGCCGCTATCGAAGTAAAATTAGGTGTTTTGAAGGCCACACGGGAACACTGCGGCCATGTCTTCTTTCATGCGTCGTTTGTTTGAAAATCGGCGTTTTTTTGTGCTCGTAGTTCGTCTTCGTTGTGGAATGGCCGTGCGTACATTCTCCTTGGAATTACCAAAGTCACACCCCCGTTTATTACATTACTAAGAGTTTTGCCGGCAGCCACGATAGTTTTTATCCCTGCTTCCGTACGTCCTTTCATTGAACAGCCAAACGAAACTTTGTGGCGCGCCTTAGTTTTTTGTGGCGCGGGGGTCTCAAGTTTGTCACTTCGAGTTGTACACAACAATCACATCAACACCTCAAAGGACCAAAAAACCAAGTGAGCAAGTATTTCAACCTTGCGATTCTGCCAGGCCTACTCTGAGGATGGAGACTTCTACTCGGTAGCACATACTCGTATCAATAAGCTGGGAGGGAGAGCGTGGCGAGTAAAAATGTTGGGATGAAAAGAGCCACATTCTCTCTCGGGAAAGGTCGTCGTTCCTGCACTGGCTACACACTTGCTCTACCCAGCTCTGCAGAAGGCTAGATTTTGCATGCACGTGCGAGATTCGCATCCGCCGCGCACATAGGCAGAGTCGAAATTTTTGTACTCTCGGATTTGCCGCCATCTTGACGAGTGGCCACTTAACACCCGTGGCAGTGTTATCTGTTCTTGGTACCCGAATACCGGCCGAACCGAACCTCATTTCGCGCTATCTGCACTGTAGTACTAGATCTACTACTACTTACTAGTACTAGTACTACTAGTTGTACTGTAGTACCTAGGCAGCTGGAGTCACCAAGGTCACCATGGTCACGGCCTAGCCTAGCGCCTTTCAAACAAACACTAAACAGCCCTACAAATGCAATCATCCTGAACCAGCCGGGGAACTACAACAAGCACCGGTATGTCAGTAACACTAACAGTTTCTGACAGTAAAAAGCACGACGTATTCAGCGTAGCTGAAGTATTTTACAAAATGTAGGTTAGTGCTTTCTTTGGTGGAATGGAATGAAAGAACATTTTCTTGCTACTGCACTGACAACTATGTGTGGCTCTTGATTCTCGCGTTGGATCTCAAGTCATGGCTGAGGCCATCAATGATATGTTGCACTCCCCTCTTCCAGGCGGTGATGCCGAAGCAACTAGCACACCCGAACGAGCGCTTCAATTGCCTCAAACGCCATTCTTGCAGCCCGTCACACCAGACGGAGCTTCGTGTTCAAGTCGAGAGCAAGAAGCTGTCGCGGAAATCTCTGCAGTGGCGGACGACGACGAGGAGTTCGACCTAACGCCGCGTAGCCTGGAGGCAGCTCAGGAGCGCTTCCCATCCATGGCGCACCGAGAAGGCGTAGGCTGCCGTGCTGACGACTGGTGGAATTATGCTCCGACCAGACCCCTGCAAGGCCGACCAACCCACACCAGCCCTCTCTTCGAGCAGCAACGTGTCGACACCGAAGATATACATTTCAGATCGGTTCTTGCAGTGCAAGCGGACAACGAGAGAGCAGTCAGGTCGGCGTTGGGAACCGAGGACTCAGAGCTAGTCGACTCGCGACTTCAAGACTATAGAACAGATTCGGAGCAAACTGTGAGCGCTAACGACGACCATCGGGAACGTGAAACGTTCGATCGCACTGCACTAGGCATCCCTCAATCGGCCGGAGAGAGCACAGGTGACTACGGAGAGTCCACGGATGGATCGAGGCTGAGCGGGAACGATGGCGAATCAACCAGTACAAGTATTGCTGATGAAACACCACGTCCACTGTTTCCCGACCAAGATAATCTATGGGGCGGCAAAAATCCGTGTAGACCGGGTAAGTATTTTGTTTGATGTTTGTTTGATTATGTATTTCTAAAAATTAAGGTGTCATGTTAAATTAGCACGTGTTTTTTTTCATTTGTAGAGAATTCCTGGAACAGTAGTGCATGAATAATCTGAACCCTCCGAGCCACAACGCCGTTCAGAGCGGGCTTCGATAGGGGAAATGCTCAGATAACGCGAACGTCGCTGATACGCCTAATGCGGTGGCACGTGGCGCAGTTTGGTCAACAAAATTGCGTATAGTACTATCGGGTGCCGAAGAACGACCAGGCTAGAAGTTCAGGGCTCACAGTTGCGTAGAAAAGCGTCGATTAGATGGGGGCGGTGCACATGCTCCAAAATGCCAGCTTGGCCAATCAGCAGTCAGCATTTCGTCGCATTTTTGCTCGAAGTAGGGGGTGTTTGAAGGAGTTAGCAGCACTTCAGCCTGGTTCTACGAAGCTGAGACTTGGCCCAGGCACAGATAACAGGTGTTCCAAAAGATTTACCGAAACAAATTTTCATTACTCACACGGGTATGCCAGAGCATATGCGTAAACTTCGTGAGATATAGTACAGCATTCGAAAGGAGTATCCAAAAACGTCTCGGTAAATTTCTTTGCCAGGGTCTCCTGAAAATTTTGAGCCATAGATTGTCCAAATCGACCAAGGGGGAGATGCTCTGTACTAATTTTAGTAACCCCGAGTCCCAGCGGCGCGCAACCGCTTGCGCGAAAATGTGTGAAGATCAAACAACAAGAAAAACGCATGCATGCAGCAGAACAGCAACGCGTGCCGTCGAAGAGAAAATCATTGTGCACAGATTGTTCAGTGTTCTCTCCTCAGTTCGCCTGCGGCGTTGGTTGCTGTGCTTTCATTCTCGCTGGAGTTCTTGTGGCAGCGCATTTCGCCATCATGGAGGAACTGGCACCCTGGGAAACCTGGTCTTCAGTGGCCCTCGACAAACGCCCGGTGGATTTGCTGGTCCCGTTCACCTCCATCCGATCACCAGCTCCGTGTGGTATCATCATGTTCTCGGCGTTACCTGCCTGGCGAGCTCTGACTCATTTGTTTGTCTTCTTACCTGTGGAATCATCACGATCGCTCATTGTAGGATCAGCTCTTGGTCGAACATGGCATGTTGTTTTTACTGGGACTAGCACAGGTTGCGTTTCGCCTTCTCCTCCAAAATATCGCGAACATCGGCTCTAAAACTACGAGAACAGTACACATGGTACAAGTACAACTCGGGTTCTTTCTCTTTTCTGTTCTGTTTTGGATGCGTGGGATGTACACGATCGGTACTCTCCCGGGGTCACGCGACTCACGTGCACCAAACCCGCCCTCGCACGACGCTTTTGTCGATCCTGCATGCCTACTGTGAGCCCTGAAGTTCACCAAGCACAGCATACCAATGTATACACGGTGACTTAACTGTGCCTACACCATAGTACATGAAAATATGAATGGCCTAGGCTACGAGGCTAACCCCCCCCCCCCCCCCCTAGTTCTTTGGAACCCGACCGAACTGTAGAAGATCATGATCGTTCTACCTTGCATTGACAGAGGCATACCAGTAGCACATGATCCAATGTACATAGACTACGAAAAGACTCCAATACAGCACTGGTGAACTCATGGCTTCCGACGTGCATCATTTTTCTTACCCTTTTCTTGGGGTTGGGGGGGGGGGGGGGGGGTTGAACGGTATTTTGGATAATTGATAGAATAGTCTGTATCTGGATCATCTGCTCTTCTCTCTAGCCATAGATATCGGTGTGTTTTCTGGAACTGTTGGCAACTAGGGACTATGTCCGTGTCTCAGGCTGCACAAGCCTTTTTTGGTCATGGTCGTAAACAGAGGAGAGTCTTCTGAAGAACTGTTCCGCTTTTCAATAGCCGTGTGTATGTAGCCATGGAAATCATGGTGGTCCGGGGTGGGTCTGAGAAAAGCAGACACAGACCAAGGTGCTCCTTACTTCGCGGTGATAGGGTCAGTACATGGCCATGGCCAGCCACGGCCTATGCTACACTGTAGTGTTGTGTGGTGTGCTATACGGCTGCAGCACAACTACGCTATCAATAATGGTGCTGTTGCACTTGTATCATGATCTTATGTGGCATTTCTAGCACCTTTCTATTGCTTAACTCTAGTTTCATTGGTTGGTATCCTTTAGTTCTGCATCTTTCCACGGGTGTTTAGAGCGAGAAAATCGATTCTGGCAAAAGAAATATTACAGCTCGAACAAGTGTTATGCAGCGTGGTGATGTCTGCGGCCTTTATGCCCTTTAAAATAGCTTTGAACAAGTTTTATGTACTGTCGTGGACTTGGAAATCCAGTCGATTGACCGGGGCCAGCGCGTACAGAATGCTGTGTGCAGTGCACATGTTGAGCCATGCGACCAGCGCGCTGCAGCGCATAAATGCGTGAGTGTACCGCTTATCCACGGCTGCATGGCCATCGCCCTGCGGCCGCTAGACGTGCGACCGGATTTCCATGGCCACGACATTACATGGTGATGTGTTCAGCCTTTGTACTCTTTATACCTTTGAACAAGTTTTATGCTGATCATGTACCGTCCCCATGAGTGTCTAACAAGTGGGTTTTGTGCGCTCTCACTCTCTCTCTCTCTTTCTCTCTCTCTCTCTCTCACGCACACACACTCCCTCTCTCATACACACACACACTCTCTCTCTCTCTCTCTCTCTTCTCTCTCTCTCTCTCTCTCTCTCTCTCTCTCTCTCTCTCTCTCTCTCTCTCTCTCTCTCTCTCTCTCTGTCTCTCTCTCTCTCTCTCTCTCTCTCTCTCGCTCTCTTTTCTGCAGAGTTTGTGGAGATTCACCATCGCCTGCCCAGCTACTTATGGCAGCAGCGTCGTGCCTACAAGGCATCTATCTCACAGCGAGCGGGTGACAACTGGAAGGACGGTTGGGACGAGGCCGAGGGCTCTTTCATGCTGGCATTGCAGCTGCTTTCAGAATTGGATTTGGTGAGATTCGGATCTATGTCATACCTTTTGTAGGACAGCCTTCGCACATGAGAGTGGCATACTCGGGCTTTGAAAGTGCGAACTGTAATATGAGGGACACTGATTGCGTTGCCATATTTTCCAGAGTATTAAAAAAAAAAAAAATCGACGGGTTCGCGTACCGGGCAGGTCAAGAACAACTCCCTGGTCAAAAACCACCGGAGTATAAGCCGCACTCTAAACACAAGACATTCACTCACCAAAGGCGTGCGACTTATCCTGGGATATGGATGCAGTGAATGGGATTTCGGTCTTTGACCACTTTGTGGTGGGTCTGATCTAATCACCTCCCACTGCTTTAGGAGCTGCATCTTTGTTGTTGTTTTTTATTTGAATTCGCAATACCAAACGGGCAATAAGCCCAATTACATGGAAGCGAATAAAAGAATGCTAAGAATGAGGCATTGGGGTGGATGTTATTTCAAGTGGAAAATACTGATCCCGGGAGGTACTACAAATAGGTACAATGAAAATCTGAAAAGGCCATGGTACTGTCGTTTACCATGCTGGAAGCAGCTACATGGAGAAGGAAAAACAACAAGAAAGACGTTTATCTCATGTATTGGACAAACAGAGCTAACAGGAAAAGACCGTTCGTTATATGCCTATACATACTGTCCGTGTGTGTGGGGGGGGGGGGGGGGGGGTGGGCATGTCACTGTTTCTCTTCTTTTAAAAACGTTTATGGCCTGAGAGTGTACGGGTACACGGCTGCTGCGAAATCGGCCACGGCTTTGCAGGAACGTACACTGGCTGGCAGAGTGTTCCACAGCGCAGGTCCACGGAAGAACGGTCGGCGAGTGCCTGTATTCGTCCTGGCCAGCGGGAGAATGAGCCCGGCGTTGGCTTGATGTCGAGTTGGGGGCATCTGCGCCTTGATCCAAGAGGTTGGTGGCGTTCCTGCGCATGCGGAAAACTCGGCTTGCAGCCAAGTCTCGCGCGAACCGTGAAACTTTATACTGGGATGGTCAAAGTTATGGTGATAAACAGGGTCGGTGTCTTTATTTCGTGAGGAAATTTTTTCGGGTACGGCTTTTACCCCAGTGCGGCTTTTACTCCAGTGCGACTTATACTCCAGTGTGGTTTACACTCCAGTGTGGCTTATACTCCAGTGTGGCTTTTACTCCAGTGTGGCTTATACTCCAGTGTGGCTTATACTCCAGTGCGGCTTATACTCCAGTGTGGCTTATACTCCAGTGCGGCTTTTACTCCAGTGTGGTTATACTCCTGGTTAATAAATATGGTGGTAAAGACACACCTGGCAATATGGCAGTAAACACACGCAGTGCGGCTTTTACTCCAGTGCGGCTTTTACTCCATTGTGGCTTTTACTCCATTGTGGCTTATACTCAGTGTGGCATATACTCAGTGTGGCGTATACATAGTATGTTGTTCTCATTCCTGCTTTGGATGCTCATGAGAGCCTCTGGATAAATCTTGGCTGGTAGTGTCTGTGTGTGTGTGTGTGTGTGTGTGTGTGTGCGTGCGTGTGTGCGTGTGTGTGCGTGTAACCATGTGGCTTTGTGCCCGTTCGTACTTTGGACATGACCATGGGCTACTGTTTATAGTATGAACCTGCATACAGTCAATGTTGAGCTGGTGACAGGGCACCCAGCTGTGCTTCCTCCTTACCATCTCTCTCTCTCTCTTTTTTGCAGGAGTCGCCAGAAGATGCGCAGACCGTTGCCTCCGTCATTATGACATGCTGTTTGCAGCAAGACGACTTGTTCGGTGGATTTGTATCATCGCCGCATGATTGCCCTAACCCTGTCCACTGTCACTTCATGCCCCTTTTGATAAGTTTTTACATGCATAATTACGCTGTTGGTTGACAGCATGTAAGAAGGTGGAGGACGAATTGTTACGTGTTGTCAACCAACAACATGTTTGAACAAAAACAATGTTCAATTATGTACACTACTATATACTCTAGTCCAAGGAATTTTAGGTGCTCATTTTTTTAGTACGGTGGCAAAAGACCAGTTTAGATGTGTAGATGTTAGTTACGTACAGAGAAGCAGTTCCCTTTTGGATAACTGACAACACCCATGCGGCTATTGATTGACACCCATGCGGCTATTGATTGAGAAAATAAGGTTGGATATGTACGGAAAGGTCCGAAGATCGGTGAAGTGGCTGTATGTTAGGTGTACCGATGTTTTTCGGTCCAGAGAAGCAGTTCCCTGTTGGATGGCAACATTTTAAAAGTTTGAAATGTACTGAAAGGGCGGGAATTGGTGAAGTTGCTGTATATTTGTGTGTGTGTGTGGGGGGGGGGGGGGGGGGGGGGTTACATCCACACTCATATTCTGTGTTGTAGCTTGTAAACCTTGAATCCAAGGCGGACAGCAGTTTTGGAGGTTGGTTTTACTTGAATCCTGCTCGTCACAATCCACTAAGACTAAGAGTCCCCTCTGCACATGAACTCCTACCCGGACACCTAATTGGAACAGGTTACTAAATCATTTTCCATTTTACGGGGCGAAAATTCCTGACTGGGATTTAGCATGCATAGGCTGAATCAACTGTTCTCCTTGACCATTATCGGCACAGCTTCTGGAACACGTGTATAGACTCCGGTACATGCTGGAGAGAATCAAGCCGCACCTGGGAAAATGCAAGGAGTACCACGACCCAGCACTGACGATCTTCAGCATGTTGCAGTGAGTAACTGTTGCTGTTGCTGCTCTCCGTACCGATGTCACACTGCCCTCTCCCCACATGGTGTACACAAATACCAAACAAGTGGTTGGAACCTTGACAATAACTATTTGAACGTTGGCCAATTGGAAAAGCGCCACTGTGAACGTTGCATGCAACTAAGCTGAGCAGCCTGGTATACTACTAATGGCCATTTGAATAGAATCCTTGCATGCTCCATTGATCTTGTCAACGGGCGCATACCGTTTTTCCAGTTATAAGTTGACCTCCATATTTGGGACCTCGATTTCCCAGTCCCGTGTTGGTTAACCCTTTGTGACCCCACTGAAAGTACGACAATTTACTCACCTCCAAATAACATGCACTTTCGCTTGTATCTCTGCCAAGCATTCACCGATTTTTACAAACTTGCCACCGCTGGAAAGGTATTTCCAAGACGAAGCGACTAATACCACACTCAAGCCAGCTACCTGCACGGCCTCTGCTCTGCGTGGCCTAGAATGCCGCTCAAAACAGCAGCCGTGCGCGAACAGCTCCAGCAAAGTTCAAACAGCCGCCATTCTATTCTCCTTCATCACATCGACTTCAAATAAACTACAGCGGAAAGCTCGTTTCAAGCGCAAAAGGTTGGTGTGCAGCATGCTTGAGTATGACGTAGCACTCCGGGGAAAACCCCTGCCGAGCGCAGTGTGAAAATTTGAATTTTTCGATCGGAGTTAATTTTTCAGTTTTCCGCCGACCTCGAGTCTCACCACGGCGGCATCGTACCTCGTAGAGACTTCGGATAACTTCGACTTGATAGCCAATGTTCCTCTCGAGACGTAGACGCTTTGTTATGAGAATCGGGGAAGGAACACCAGAGATATAATATTTTTAGTGCCACTGTATACCAATCGATCGATATCGATCGATGGGGTCACAAAGGGTTAAACTCCATTGAAAGTCGAGGACCCCTCATTTTGGGTGTTTTAGGTCATAACCGGTTGAATTATTGCCAGTAGAAATGGTGACTGTTGTTAATATCCATCTGCAGAAACACTGGTCTGTTTGCCTCGAACCCAGCCCATCACTCCTGGTGCTCTTATTGCATGATGCTTAGGACTAAAGAGGAACTTAGCGCTGTTAACATGAAGTGAATGGTGTCATATTGAGTGTCTTTCTCACGATTTCCTGATTTTTTCCCCCGCTGTGTATCCTGTATTGCAGAAAGCCTCTGTTGGCACTGAACGTGAAGGAATGCGCAGAGTTCTCGTATGGCCTGGTGCAGCTCATCAACACCGCCGGTAGGTGAACAGCTTTTTCTTTGCTGTGTTGTAAAGGTGATGAGCGGTTATGTTTATAAAATCCTGTTTGGTTGCTGTACATACTAGTGTAGCTCTGTTCCATTCAGTTGACGCCAGATCCATCCCAAAGGCAGGGGTAATCAGGTCTACGTCTCGGAAAACGTTGAAATTAATTCAACAAAACAAGCGACACTTAACGTGACCCATGACTGCATTATTTTGTGTGCACAGCTACGGAGTGAAATTTTCTTCATTGCGGTGTGCTGCATGGTGTCAGTATTTGCGCATTCAAACATAGACATCGAGAACGCTTCCAATGTTGCCAGATTCATCACATGCAAGATACCGAAGGGTGGAGTTGGCTTCATCGTTATGGTCTCTATGTAGCAGATTGCTAAGTGGGGTAGCCAAGTAGATTCCATTTAAAGTCGACCTCTGGACGAAAGGTTCATATGATGGCGGCCACTTTAGACTGTGTGAGTTGCATTGTCCGTGGTTCAGGTGCGGCTACCGCCTGAATGTCATGGTAATGTTGGCCACGGTTCAATGGAGCTATTCTCATGGCATGGTTGGTTTGCAATGTTTCTTTTCCTGCATTCCTCTATGTAAGTTGCTATCTACCCTCCTCCCACCCCCTCCTGTACTTTTCTCTCTCTCTTTGTAATGGAATTCCTCCCGCCTCTCTGTCATGATAATCATGTTTGTGTGTGTGCTACGAACGCCGTCTCAATCTGCATGTTCGTCTCTATTTCCACTTCCTTTGTTTCTGTCGATCACTCCCCTCCCTCTAATTCGTACAGCTGGGTTTTTGTCGTGCGGTGAAGACACCATCATGCTGGCTATCACGCTACTCTTGTGCAAGTGGGCAACTGCTGCAGGCTGGCCTAGCACACATGACGGTGAGTGTTGTATGATGGCATTCCCCAAAACTGCCTCTTAGGTCTTGTGAATGAATGATATGAGCATGCGTACGTAGTTTGTGAATCTGGAGTCCAGCCTTTTCAATCTTCTTGTTCGTCTATTTGAGTGCTATTCTCTGTGTCCCCGCCGTGTCCTAGTTCGTATGTGTGAATTCTAACTGCTGCAAACAAACCAATTGCCATGCTTTATTCTGTGTGACTGTGTCTGTGTGACTGTGTCTGTGTGACTGTGTCTGTGTGACTGTGTCTGTGTGTTTGTTTGTATTGATGGCTCCTGCACAGTATCATGGCTCCAGATAGGGTGCGTAGTTCTATTTCCTCGAGTTGCGTGCAGTGCTGCTTTGGGACTTGCATCTGCACGCTGACCTTTGAACGTCCTGTGTTTTCCTGCCGATATGGAATAGTCATGTGCTGCTTCTCGCGCAAACCACTTTAAACTGATTACATTTCTGTGTGCTGTGAATGACTGAACGGGGGGTGTTGCTTTGGCCTGCAGCTGTTCGTGACCTGTATCTGTACCAGCCAGCACCGTACCCGCTGCATGAAGCAGCCATGGAGACCAGCTACGCCACCCTCCTGCTGATGGATGTGAGTACAGCTCTGAGACTAAACTTGAATGTTTGGTGACCTGAACGAATGGAGCAGCCCCCCCCCCCCCCCCCCCCCCATGCCCACCTGTTAGGGCAATGATCGTTGGGAAACTTGAGAAACTGGACTCAGGCTTTCGCCGACTAACCACCTGACGGCAAAGATAAGTTTCTACCTCCCTGATCTTGGCAAACGTCTTACAAAGACCTGCAAGGACGAGCAAGGAAAATCCATTTGCCCATATCTACAACAACATAGTGTCATGTTACTGGTGTGAATCAAGTCGACCAGAGAGCGCATGTGGTGGCGGTGGGACTAATTCATTGACTTGAAAGTCAATAGACTATACTGCCGTTGTAGTTAAGTCCGGCATGGCACCAGGTGAACAACCAGATAACTTTCAGAGATGCTTAGCCTACTCCACTCTCCTATCTTGAGATGAATCTTGACACCTTTTTCGAAGAATACTCCCATGGCCATTACAATCACTGTACGTAACCCCGATATCAACACTGACTTCATTGTTGGGTTAGGCTTTGTCGAGTCTCTTTCTATCTCCCTGTTTACCTTGTTTTTTTGTTTTGTGACAGACCTGGGATCCGTGCAGCCCTTCCAAACCCAACGTGTTCATTCGCGAGACCCTTGTTATCCTCGCAGATAAGGGTAAGCATAGGCCAAGTGATCATTCTGCAGCTTTGAAGTGCAAGTATCGAAATTGTTCAAAGGTCTCAATAGGAATTGTAACTGTTTGGCAGGTTAGTGTTATATCCTACTTGTAACAAACTATGTTTGGTTATCGCTCAAGAACAATACCTACCGATAATCAGCTGTGGGCATGCTCATGACAGGGTTTGTGAATGCGGCAAGCGATTGAGGCATAGTGGGGATTTGCTCGCCCACCCTTATCCACTGCGCTCCTGGTGGAGATTTGGGTTCACTGAAATGAAGAACAGTTACGCTTTACAAAGGCCGTAAGAGAGTTGGAAATCACGTGTCGTGCGTGGTCATGACAATCATGGTGGTCAGGTGCAAGTCTGCACAAAGCATACGCAGTTCGATGTGGTGCCTCACTTCACAGTGGCCTACTTTCCTGATATGCCACTGCCAGCTACTGGCTATACTACTCTGTGTTGTTGGATGTTGTGTTCAACGGGTGGAGCACAGAGATGGATTGTTCCTGTTGATGTGTTTGCCATGCAGATATGTGTCGTCAGCAGATAGCGTGCTCTGACCGTGTCAAGGACTTGATACCCGCACTGGCCTCTTTTGAGCCGGACACAAGGTAGGAAAATCATCTCCCAAGGAGACACTGATCTGCTGTCGCTCTCTGTTGCGCATGCACTTAGCCCGTCACATGCGCTTCACCCGTGTTCCTTTGAAAGTGTGCATGACTGTGTTGATGTGACGCTGTGTAAAGCATATCGCTGGAATTCACTTTGCCTTAGTACCCATATTCTCACCGCCACAAATTCACCACCATGCCTCCACACTGTGAACAGGACTCCTGTCGAAGTATGGAGGCATGAGAACACCTGCATATACTTGGCTGCTATGGTGTATGGCTTAGACGTGACTGCTCCCTCACCGAAAAACTGCCTACCAGATCCGGAATGAATTTGACGCCATCAAATACTGTCTCCCCATTACCGCTGCCTTCAACCCTATAATTCCACACCCATAGGAACTCCAATTGACCTTTTTTCCAGAGTTTTGCACTTTAGATCCTTTTACATACATACGCATGTAGCCCATTTCCATGGCAACAGTCTAAAACAACACACCTGATTATCATACTAACGCATAAAATAATTCCCATACTGGTACTGCAGAATGTCTCTGATTGCGCGCCGCACGGACGACTCAGAGTTGCGAGAATGCACTGATCCATCGTTGTGTTTTCATGTTATTGAACGTGGAGATGTAACGAGTTCCAGGTACACTTTGAATGGTGCTGTTATGTGTATTGTGCTATCTCATGATGGTCACAGGGAATACCAGGAGGTCCTCTCGCTCATAAGCAGACTGCTGATGTATGAAGACGATGAGATCAAGGCAAGTGCCTCTTTGCCCGTCTGTCCATTCTGCGCTCCTGTAGTCAGCAGCTTGCTCATTTAGTTGTTGTTGTTGTTGTTTTCTTCATTAGAATTCGCTAAAACCAAACGGACAGAACTGTCCAGTGACAAGGGAGCGAGTAGTAACAGTGACAGGCCCAAGAATGATACTGCCTTTGCGTACTGATAATCATTACCTTCACACCTATGGGAAACTCACCTTAGTATTCCGGCACGTGTAGTCTTAGACTGCAATGATGAAAGCGTTGCCCAGTCCGGTATGTTACTAGGGTACGTGTGCCAGAAAAAGAACCAAGGTCGCGTGATGAGTAAGAATATCTGTCTGATTAGTACGGTGGGAACTTCGGATTGAATACGTAGGAGTCTTAGAACAGCCCCCCCCCCCCCCCTTTTCCCTACGGCGCACTCTTGGAGGCACATTTGTAATACACCTTTGCCAGTACTATCTTTCCCCGTCCATTTCTCACGTTGTCTAGCTTTCTGCTGTTTCCGTTGGTTTGTGTTCCCTGTGTGTGTAGGCGGTGGGCATGTTTGCTACTCGTGAGAGCCTGCAGTAAGTCCATCAAAGCTGTTTATGTCACGTTTTGTTGATTAGCAGTAAATCTTTCATAGCCAGCAGTTTTGCTGTTGCAGAGGAGTGATGGTCGTTTGGATGTACATGGGTAGGTGTTGTTTATGGCCGGTGTTGCATGGCTTTGCATGCTTGCATATAGTCGAGTTGCCAGGGGATAGTAGTGTACGCACACGAGAACAAGAGAGTAAGAAAGAACTGTTAATCTGTCTAAGAGAACACCTTCAAACAGGTCAACGAACACCAGGCACATTGGCATTTCTGAGCTCATGTTTCTAATGCTGTTTGCAATGTGAGATTGTGCATCAATACAGGCTGTGTGGAAAGTGGTCACTTTGTGCCGCTCATCTAGTGCTCAATTGTTCTGTTTTACAGTCCAAAAGGCAGGTTTGGTTCTTTTATGTTGTCCATTCAGACTACTCCGTCTGGAACTCGAGCGAACTGTTGTTCCCAAGTCAGTCAAATTCTTGCTATCAATGAGGTAAGCTACTTACTGAGGGGACATTTTATATCCCATGTAGACATGAAGTGAATAGCGAACTATGCACCGCTTCATACTGCAGAGGTTCTCTGTGCATGACGCGTAGAAGAACGCCATGGACACGTGTGTCTGGGTCAGAGTCGGCAGCTTAGCTTCTTCCAGATGTCTACGGGGAGAGCAGAAACTGCCAGTACACGGTTCTCGTGGTCTCTTTTCAGGAATCTAGAGCCTATTTTTCTTAACAATACGCCCCTGGGTGCGAGTACTTGAATCTTTCTTTTGCATTCCCGTCAAGCTGAAAAGAACCTTCTGTCCACCCACGTGGTAGGGGTGGAAGGCACTCTGCCATCTTTCTGATTGAAGACCCATGAAAGAAAGAAAAAAGTATGCCTCAGGAGCATTGACCAAAAGAAAAAAAGTGTCGCCTGGAGAACCCGGGTATCGATCCCGGTACCTCTCGCATGCTAAGCGAGCGCTCTACCATGTGAGCTAGTCCCCCTGCTTGATAACATCAACCCAATCTATCCCACATAACGTTTAACGCAGTATGATATGTATTTGCCAAACCTTGCGATCAGATCAGGAAAACCAGTACCGTACAGGGATTATTTCGAACCTGTCTTTAGGTACCATGTGCATTTTGACAGCGGATTTGGAAGTTCTGCGTGTTTCTATGTTTTTCTTTGGTCTATTCCAGAAATGAACTCGTACACATTATTCTGATGATTGCCAGCCTCTGCCCAAGTGCACCATTTGTGGTTAGTCAGAAACATGCCCTTTATAGAGTCTGTGTATTTCCTAACTTGCATTCTCCCTGGTTTGTATACCTTGAAAACATAGCTCTACCTACCAGGATCAAGATAAAGAAATCTGACACCAACTCCAATGGTAAATACAAATTGCAATTTCAAATTTAGACTTCACGGAGAATTTCAAAGTTTCTTTCATATCTGGCTTGCAAGTGTTGAGTTTCGGAGAGAAAAGAGCAGTACGTGGCATGTGGCCTCTAATTTCCTAAAACTCCAATGGTGGTTGCTGTAAAACAAAAAAGAGTTTCCTATCAAGCAGAACTTCCTGCCTTCACCTTTGAATGTGTTATCGCAGCGACTAGACTATAGTTGATATGTCCTTTGGCCAAACCACACACAGGCTGAGAGTGTGATATCATGTGACGAGCTCACCAATCGAGATGTTTTAATACAGTGCTATCACAAGCACTGGCTTGCTAGTGCTGTAGTAAGTTGCTACCCCGTGAAAATCTTTATCATGATAATGTAAGCGACTCGTCACCCCATGCAAACCATTATTACAAGGCACTGCACAATGATGTCATTGGCGTGTCGCCCCATGCAAAGCATAAACGATGACGTCATTGGCTTGTCACCCAGTGAAAACTATTGTTGCAGCGCATTATACGATGATGTCATTTGTGTAATCTCTATGTCCATTCACTTTGTTTGCAGTCAAGTGGACTCCTTGAAGACCTGTGTCTTTTGGCTACGTTTACCGAAGGTAGGCCGCCTACTTGCTTGCTCTGTTTATGGTGTGTTGTGTCCATCTATTGTAGCACAACTTGTCACGACGAGAGGGAGGGGTAGTTTGCACGTGAATGTGCTTGTGTCTGTGTGTTTCTGTGTGGTTACATGCGCGTGTCTGTCTGTCTGTCTGTCTATTTGTGTCTGTGTCTGTGTGTATGATTGTGGAGTGGGGGTGGGGGTAAGTTGCACGTGTGTGTCTGGTTTTCTGAGTTAGTTTGCAAGTGTCAGTGATTTTGTTAGGGGGGGGGGGGGGGATTTAATTATGACATATATTGTGTGCATGTGTTGAAGGGGGAATGGGTAGATTGCGTGCACATTCCCTTCACAAACCTAATTACGAGTGTTAAAAGTGTGGCTTATACTCTCGAAAACAAGATCCTCTATTCTTAATACGCAAGACGTTTCCCGGGTCCAAACATTCCTTTTAGCCATGGTACGCAAGGCAAAGAGATTGGGACGAAGGAGGTAGATTGTTATGGGTAGTCTACAGCTGCTGCAGCTGTCTCTCGCCAGGCCAGCACTTCGTAAGCCAGAGCGCACTCTAAGACCGGTTCTTGTTTGTTCTCTTCGTGATGATGTTTGTGACGTCACAGTTAAAAGCAACCGTCCGCTGGTGCACAAGCTGGAGTTCCGTGAGGTGAGTGTTGCGAGGAGGGCCACATTTTACATGACTGCCGCTTGGGGTTTAGCTAATACGAGCATGTAACTTGCCGCTCCAATATGGCATGCATTCATTGTACATCAAGATCGGGTAAGTTTTAATTGGTCTAATTGGTCAAAGTTTAAACCTTCGGAAAGTTTCTCTCGATCCGAATGATAACGCGTGCCTGTGTGTGTGCGGGTGTATGTGTGTGTGTGTGTGTGTGTGTGTGCACGTGTGTATGTGTGTGTATATGCTTGTGTCATACCTGCACTCACTTTTGCGTGCGTCTCTTTCTCAGTACCATGACGATGACGACTTCCTTCACGCCGACGTGACTTTGAAAGGCACGCTGATGATGCTGATGTCGGTGGTGAACACAACACCTGCCGTTATCGATGTAAGCGGTAGTATTCACACTGCCCTGTTTGCAGTACTGTTAATGGTGACGGATACCGTTTTGATGCCATGGCATGGGATGCGAAGAAGGGGTGGCAGGGGGGGGGCGTTGGCCCATTGGGCGGGGGGGGGAGGGGGGGGGGGGGTAGGGATGTAACTGTTGATTTCTGGTGTCAACTTATGTAGGACATGCATACTACAGGGTGCGATGCCTTTCAATGCCGTGATGTTGTTCTATGGGTGTGCTTGTGTACCCAGGTGTTGAGAAAGTGTGCTGCTAGCCATGTTGTAGTGCAGGATTACAAGACTTTGCAGGCATGCAATCTCCCCAGGCACGATAAAATATATCTGGAATAGATGCGCGCAGAGAGAAACCAATTGTATGTACACAAATCAGTAGTCAGCAGTTACTCAATACCTTTCTTGGCCACTGCGGCCGTAAAGTATATGCAGTTCCACAATTTGTCCTGTCCCTGACACAACCACGGCATGTTTCTGAACGTCTTCCCCAGGTAATGAAGCACCAGTTCGTCATGACTTCACTACTCTTCTATGTTGCCGACAAGCCTCTGCCGAGTTTCCCGTTCTCGCCTGGAAACTTCGTCCAGCTGCAGCTCTATGCTATGACGGCACTTCTGCACATTGCACCCAAAATGCTACCATCATTCATTGAGGAGCAGGGAGCTAACCGCCTTGTTATGCTCCTGGAGCACCTCTGTTCAGAACGTAAGCGGCATCAAAAAAACTTCAATCTAATTTATGCTCACATCTTTTTACATGGGAGAGTTATCCTGAGGTGATTTGCTATGCTCTGAAGCAAGCTGGAAATGTCTCGTCAGTACCCATACGCTACTGTCGGTCGGCAAAGAATTGGGGGGGGGGGGGGGGGGGCGTATGGTTGGTCGTTCTTCAGCGCTTCGTTCCTCGCGGCCTGACAGTACTGTAACACAAAACCTGGTGTTTACAGACCTCTCACTTCTGAACAGAAAAACAATTTACAGGAAACAATTAACTGGGATGCCCGTAACTCTATTTGCACACGATGCACCTATGCCGTCTCTTCTTTAATTTCTATATTATTTTCTAAACAAGCTCGTTAGAAAATCCCGAAAAGATGGCATATGTGTGGCCATTGCTGAACTGCAGCTGTAGCTGTGAGTGCAAATACGAGCGACGCATGCTTCAACGGGATTTTTTTCTGTTGAAAAGTGAGAGTTTTCTAAGCGTCAGTTTGTGTGTTCTGGGTATCCCATGGCCAGTCATTACCTCTGCCAGTGGCATCGGAACCGGTGCGGCAGGTTTCATCTTGTGTTTTTGAAGCAATAAAATATGGGCTATTTGGGCCCAATTTTCCAAGTATTTCTTGGGGGAGGGCCCCAAACACTCACCTCTTCATGGCCACACCAATGCCGAATGCCTTCTGACGCCCCGTACCTCTGTTTCATGTGTGCTTTCAGGGTGCTTCATCGCAGAAGATGCCAACGGTACTCTGATCCGAGCAGCACTGAGCTGTGAGCAGCAGATGTCATTGCTGGAGGCGACCTTTCAGATTCTGTATGCGCTGATTCGCCAGGACGACGAGCAAGGCGCATTCCGTAGCGATCTCATCGCACAAGGAGCTGTTCACCAAGTCCGAAGTAAGTTGTGCTTGATGTAGTTGATGTGTGTGCGTGCGGGCGGGCGAGCAGGCGGGCTGTATTGGAGTTGCCCGATGGATCATGGCGTGTAATAGTATGTGTACGGCTACTCGTATGACACCACCAGCCGCAGCTTTAGCCGTCTTCCTTGCCTGCTAACCGAAAATGTACATTGCAGGTGTGACAACCACTCCACTTTCTACCATTTTGTTCTTTCCCATGTGAGACTACCAATGTCCCTTCCTTGTAGCCCCCTGTGATAGGTATCCTCACTGTCACTCCTTATCCCCCACATTGAGCGATTCAGGTTTGGGAGCGGGTTAGGAAGGGAGAGATGAGTTGCTCAGGGGAGTAACCCCATGTATTTGAAGTAACCCCATGTATTTGCAGCAGTTCAAGCAGTTCCCACCTGCTGCTCGATGGTCCACACATCTGGTATCAGGAGGCAGTAGTGAAAGACTATTTTACGATCGAAATTGGCGTCAGCACCTGGTTCACGCCTTGAACTAGGTGGTGTACATCAGTGGTGAAAACTACATGATAGGTACGAGTGAAAATAGCAGGAGAGTGCAGGAATTGAAGGAAAACAATAAACACACTGGGGTGGCTATGGTAATCCTGTGCCACTACAGCTGAACTTATATACACGAAGACCCTCGCGAACAATGATCCTTGATCGTGCATGGAAAAAGTGTTCGTAACTCGCGAGTTGTCATTTCTTGTGCATGAGGTTGAAATCATGCAGTCAAAAGGTCACTAGATGTTAGGATTGTGTCGTTATTTGTGAGGTGTTGTTACACCCGATGTCGTTATTCGCGTGTTAGACTGTGAGCGTGTGGTACGAAGTGTCACATCTTTGAGTTCATCCTAACCAGATGGTAAGCAGCAGTATTCGGCCATTGAAAGTGCCTGAGTTGACATTCGCCACCGCCATTGCGCTCTGTGACCGACCACAAACAAACACTCACTTGCCAACAACAGCAACAAGAGGTTCCTTGGAGCACATTGACATGTTATTCTTGTTGTTGTTTTTCCTGCTGTGCCTGCAGCATTCGTCGTTGAGGTTCTCACTAAGGTCTTCATCCGGCGCATGTCACGCACCGGTATACACGAGGCGGACGTGTCGGCGCGACTTCACTCAGCCGTCCACCTGGCCACGCAGCTACTCAATCTGCTGCACTGTGATACGCACCCTCAGGTATTCTGGCATTACATTCAGGAATTACGATAATATGTTCTGTGACTTCTGTCATATCCAATAAAACCTGTCGAAACAACCACTCTTATACGGCAACCTGCCTGCACCTAGGACCAATAGATGCTGTTTGCCGTCGAATGACCCAGGATAAGGCGACCACCTCTACACTTCAAAGGCCCGTTGAACGGTCCGCTTAAACAGGTTTCATTGTACAGTAAAGCCTGTTTAAGCCGACCGCTTTAATGACCTTCAAAATGGGGCCTCGTGACAGGCCCTCTCCTTATCCAGGCTCCTTTGACTGCAAATAACAGCCCTTGGTGCTAGTGGTAGTGGTTCTCTGGAACAGGTGCTCGCCTGAACTGGTGTCACCGTATACTATGTGACAAATCCAGTCCTTGTAAGCATTAATTAAAACTGTGATGATTGCGAGTGTGCATTTCAAAAAAATTCGAAAACACTCTTGTAATGTGGTATGAGGTCATGCACGACGTTATGACCCCTGGTCAACTTTGTGCAGCCTCATAGATTGAAACCCGTTTGCAAGATGTGTTGGTTGACACCTGTCACTTTGTTTTCATATAAAGCGTGTCTAAGGCGACTTGCTAAAGCATTTTGGTCATCATAACATAAAACTTGTTCTGTGTACCGAACGAATTTGTTGTGTTTGATGTGTGTGTCACTGAATGTGCAGTATGATGCCAACGACGCGGCCAGCTTTGACTATCTGAAGGTCATCCTGGAGATGATGAGCGGTGCCAAGGAAGGCGTCTGGGTGGACGTGAGGACGGCCGATGAAGCCATTCCCATAGCCGTGCTCGAATCCATACAGTAAGAACAACGTAAAAGAGTTTGCAGAAGGAGGAGGCACAGCAGCTGTAACCCCCAGCTGGTCAGACTTTGACCGGGCGTCTTGTCATTGTAACAGACGTCAGCTCTGTTCTCATGCGGCAAATAGTAAAACATGCATGAACAACTGTCAATGACTAATGCTTAGGGTTAACCAAGCACTTTAATTGAGCAAGCCAGCACATATGAGCTGCACCAGGACAAAAGGGTGCTTATGGCAAAAAAAATCACAAACTGAGTTATGGATACAGCGCAATGGCTGAATTCCCACTGCTTCTGTTGCAAAAAGCCGCATTTAAAAAGCTTGATAAATCGCAACGAAAACTAATCGAATTCAAAAAGAAAATGTGCACTCTCAATATTGCATACTCAACTTTCAAACGAGTTTTTCTCAGTTTGATGACACGTGCCATAAGCACTCTTTTGTCGTGTTGCGGCTCATATTACAAGTTACATTGAAGATTTAGCATAACATAATGTACTTGCAATCTGTACTTTTGATGATCACACCCATGCACTGTGCATCGAATGTCGAATGGCGGATCGACCATTGAGCATGGTGATGGCAATAGTGCTTTGTATCAGGCCATAGTACAATAAAACATGTGACTAACGACTACCCCTCGGGGCCAGAGAAAGCGGTCTTTGGTGACAGGTGGCCCTAAGTTAGAAGTTTGCACCGCACAAATGAATGTGAGACTGTCCGTGCCTCACGAAGTGGTCTAGTAGTAGCAGGCTGGTCGCTAGTCAAGGTGGTCTTTACTTACAGGTTTTACTGTAGTACCAGGCTGGTCGCTAGTCAAGGTGGTCTTTAGTTACAGGTTTTACTGTAAGTTATGTCATGGTTGCCTTTCACTGAACTGATTCACCGTCATCATTGTTATTGCCACAGTCTTGCTCTGCCCATGACAGCCATGTTTGTCTTGTTGCGCAATGTGCTCTGTTTCAGGCGCAATGTAGTGAACAACGCTGCGTGCGAGGAGCGTGTGTTTGCGCTGGGCCTCGTCCGTCAACTTCTCGACATTCTGAATGTAAGACACACACACAATCATCAGTGGAGTGACATACTATAAGTATGGACTTTTCCTTGATTTGGTGTTACCGATGTTGTGGTCGCTCAACTCTACTAATTCTGTACATTATGTGCTGCTCAGATGTCGCACCCGGGCAACTTCCAGGACACTCTGATCACCGTGCTGTCGGACTTGGCCGACAACGGAGAGCAAATCCCTCAGTTCAAAACGTGGACGGCCAGGAGAAAGCGCCGAAGCAGCACGGACAAGTCGCCTGGCAACGGCCGTAAGAGCACGGCGGAGAAAGAAAGACCAGTGAATGTTTTCACGATGATGGCACGTCTGTGGCGAGAGGCTGAGGAGAGAGCGGAGGTAACCAGAGGGACCAGTGGAGAGATACTCGGTAAGGATCGAAGCTCAGAAAACGTGCTGTGTGAAAACTGTTTATCATAAGGAATTGTCTTGCTTGCTGAGAGATAATGGCTGGAATTCTTGCACAGTAGAGTGCCGATTATCCACACCCCTTGGGTCGCGAGTTATCTCCAGGGGGTTCAGATGAGAAGAATGTTCGGATAAGGGAGCAGTCACACATCTATCTAAAACATGCGTATTCCCGCAAGTTTTCCTCATTAAATTTTGTTGTTCTGTTCGGCAGTACAACGGGAACTGGGCGCACTCAGGCTCCTCAGAATGACACTTTTAATATACATGTACACTTCAACCCGTTGTAATACATCTTGTGCATAGCTTGAATGGTGCTCCCAGCGTGGACAATCAACAAAAACTCATTTTCTACCCCTCAATTCAATGAAAGCATTTCGGATAATTGATCGTTCGGATAGTAGACGTTCGGATAATCGGCTTTCTACTGTACTTGTATGTGGTGCGCGTGTGCATGGGCCTCCACGCCAATGTGATAGCAATTTTCCCCAAACACACATTGCAAATTCGAATATGTGCTGATGTGTAAAACCTACTTCTGCCGGTGTGTGCGTGTGTGCGTGCGTGTGTGCACGTGTGTGCGTGCGTGTGTGTGTGTGTGTGTGTGTCCGTGTGTGTGTGTGTGTGTGTGTGTGTGTGTGTGTGTGTGTGAGTGTGTGCATGAGTGCGTGCGTGCGTGCATGTGTGCGTGTGTGTGTGTGTGTGTGTGTGTGTGTGTGTGTGTCTGCGTGTCTGTATGGCTGCAGACTGCAAAGCGCCACTGCTGACAAAAGATGAGATCACCACTCGCCGTGCTGGACAGCAGCCCGATAGGCCCGCAACTAGCTACGATCTGATCAGCCACATCCGCCGCTACCCATCCGTTCAGGAGGTGGACAAGACCCAGCGACCTGCCATTGCAAACATCGTGCACAAAGCGGGTAGGAACTATTTATTTGAAAATGAGAATTTTTGTTCTCGCTAATTTCAAGCTTGGTGTTGTAAGAGGCGTTGTGTCGTTCTCCCTCGAGTGAGGGTGAAATTGATCTTGATTTTTGTGTGCGCACAATGATCTGATGAGTCGAAACACGGGATGTAAAGTGTACTGTACAAGCCTGACACATGCCAGCAACAGCATATCCGATATCTGTGGTCGATAAGAAAGAAAGCCAGTGTGTGTGTGTGTGTGTGTGTGTGTGTGTGTGTGTGTGTGTGTGTGTGTGTGTGTGTGTGTATGTGTGTATGTTTGCGAGTGTACGTGTCTTTGTGTGTGTGTGTGTGTCTGCGTCTGTGTGCACGTGTATGTGCGTGTTTGCGTTCATGTGGGGTTGTACGTGTGTTTGTACGTGTCTAGGTCCCGTTCCCGGACACGTAGGAGGAAAAGATCGTGTTACCATGACTACGATTCATATCTACCTTGACATGAAGGTATGAGAGGCGCACAGCACATTCAGTACGGTGCTCTTGCTGAGACACGGAGGGGACATACAGTTGACTGTATGGGTGGGGTGCATGTTTGTGAGGGTGGGTGTGTGGGGGGGGGGGGGGGGGATAAGCAGCCATACAGTTGTTGGTGGTAGATTTAGCGAAAGTGTGTGTGTGGGGGGGGGGGGGGGGGGGCTGCTCCCTCTTTTCGAAACTATGACTAATGTTTTCTCAGTAGTTGTGATGATGAAAGAGCACCATCGATCCCTGTTACGTTGTAGTCATGGCATGCATGGTTTATTTCTTATACACTGAGTATCCCTTCATTTCACACCATGCAACCTCTGTCAGCATATTGAGAGTATCCTTGCATCGTGTGTCCTCATCTCTCGCCAGTGTATGGAAGTTATCCAAGATACAATCGATGACTTGGATCGGCGCAGCATTCCTGTACCGGACATGTGGATGCAATGGCTGGATGAGTGTTTGGTGTACGCCGCCAAACGTGCCAGAGCTGCAACTGAACTGCAGGTGAGCGTGTGCCTCTTGCCTTCCGGCAAGTGTGTGTGTGTGTGTGTGTGTGTGTGTGTGTGTGTGTGTGTGTGTGTGTGTATGTTTGTGTATGTGTGTGCGTGTGTGTGTGTGTGTGTGTGTGTGTGTGTGTTGGTGTGAGTGTGCGCGTGTGTGCGTGCATGCATGTATACATGAGTAAGTGTGAAACTATGTGTGTGCTTGTGCATGCATGGGCTAGAGAGATGGTTGGGTGCTCTATTGAGTTTGATTATGCCAGTGCTTCGGTATACTAGTATTCCCTGATTCTGTGGTTCCTCTACTAGATGCACTATGCGAATGCAGACACGGAACGGGAGTTATCCGAGGAAGCGCAATACTTCCAACAGGTAAACACAGTGTATTGTGCGGGCATGTTGATGACTGATCGTTCCTGTCACTACGGTGAACATCATTTCACTACGATGAACATCAGCGCTGTGCAGCTCACTGTTTTAATTGCCCATACGTGCTCACTCTGTGTGCATACCATGCACTACCAACCAGTGTGGAAATCACATAGTACTGTACGTGTTCTGATAAGATAATACTCTTGCTTCATACGTACAGTGTGCGGAGCATAGGTGTACCATAGTATTTTAGGATCACAAGTACATTGGATGTACTAAGTACCATATTTTCCGGGGTATAAGCCGCACATTGAACACTCAAGAATCACCCACAAAAGGGGATGCACCGTATACTCCTATGATCAAATAAGCGGTGATAAATAGGGTAGATGCCTGTATTTCCTGGCAAAAAAATGGGTCACGGCCTATACTCCAGTGCGGCTTATACTCGGGAAGATACTGTACATTTTCCTGCTTCCCCCGTAGGTACGTCTCAGGCTCGCCGGAACCGGTCCGGTTGGTCATGTTACTACTGGACCAACTTTTCAGCCACCAACACATGTTTCCTAATATGGAGGGCATGTGCACCCACCATGCCGTACACAAAGTATGAACGGCCATGGTACTATCGGACCAATCAAAAACTGCTTCTGGCCATCCTGTGTCTTAACAAAGTTGCGTTGTCAATAGCAACCGTGACCAGACCTGCCATAGCAACCATGACCAGACCTGCCATAGGTATCAGCAGCTCACTCATTACACTGAGCTTGCACAATGCTAATAATGTGTTCTTCAAGTCGAAGAAGACTCGAAGAACTCCAATCGGCTCCTGCCCTACAAAGCAATGACGAGGGACTGTTTCGAATCTATTTTGGGGACTTGGGTTTTGATGTCCATTTGAATTCTCTCACATCAATGGCATGGGTCGCTGTCCTTGAACAGTACATAACCCCCCCCCCCCCCCCCCCACACACACACACCTCTTTGCATGTTTCTCCGTGTTTCTTTCCCGCTCTATGTTACCGCTTCATATCTTCACCCATTTCTCTTTGTGTACATCATGCATTTAGCGACTTGGCTGGAACAAACTAGAGAAGCTTGTGGAGGAAGAGAAGGAGAAGCAGCGACTGCTGACGTCCAACCTTGCCGCTTTGAAGGTAAGGTAGCATGTATGCACGTTCGGCTACGCACGACACCCGAGATAATGCATGTGTTGGTTGCGGCCCTTATTGTCAATGTTGCAAGTGAAACTTCCATAAGCACCCTACGGATTGGGTTTCACGGCTGAGACCTTGCAAAGGACACACTGAAATAGGTGGAGTATGTGTGTGGAAGTGTGTGTGTTGGGTGATCCACTATACAGTGGAACTCACCCCAGTACTTACCCTGATAAGAGAGCCATGCTCTTGTTTAGTACAGACATTATCCGCAGCACAGGTGTATTGATACACACTGATGTACCGTAGAATCCCGCGGATAAGCCGATGGGCTTATCTGTTTCACAAGGACATTTCGGTGGGCTTGTACGAGAACACGGGATTATACGCGGGCATGGGCTTATAACGCTGACACCAACATTGTGCTTTGAAAAGTACCAAGGCAGTGAGAAGTACATTGCTGAAAGCCACTGTGCAAACAAAAACAACCGATGATTTTGTTGAAATGTACACAAAAAAAACCAAAAAAACTACACCCACTATGTATATGTACGTCATACATGTCCTTGGCCCGACCAAGAGTCCATAATTTATGGACTCTTGGTACGACTTAGGCCCATGCCATGGACTTGCACGACGGAGCCTTGTGATGTTCGAACTTTCCCTGGGCTTATGCGCGGGCATGGGCTTATACGCGGGTGGGCTTATCCGCGGGATTCTCCGGTATTTTAGGATAAGAAGTACCTTGGATACTGAGTGCACTTTCCTGCTCCCCAACGGGTACGTCTTATCAGAGCTCTTCTGCCGCTACAGTCAACTTTGCTAATAACGACTGCGGATATAACGACAATTCGAGAATAGCCACAGAATTTCCATGCCCAGAGCAAAGTCCCATCTAAATGTAATACAATCATTCAATGAGACTTCGGGTATAAGGACACTTCGCGAATAAGGACACTTTTCCGATGCCCCGCCTAGTGTTGTTATACGCAACGTTGACTTTAGTTGTCCTCGTTTGCCACCCAGATATCACTGCATTACATCGATAATTGTATCGCGTAACTAAGTTATGTTCAGTCTCACTACCCAAACACCAGGCTGCGTAGGCCTGTGAACATGTGCTGTGTGTTTGATCTCTGTCCTTGCTCACCCTCCAAGGCGGCCAGTGGTCGTCGTCGTGAGTTGGCAGCGGAAGCACGGAGACGCAATCCAAGACCAACAGAGTAAGATTGGATTGTAGCATAATTTTACTGGGGTTGAAAATCCCAGGGCCGCCGGAACCGGTCCAGTTGGTCAGGTTATCACCGAACCAACATTACAACCACCAACACATGTACTCACTACTATGGACGTCATGTGTACCCCCCCCCCCCCTATTTCACACAGAAAGTATGAAAGACACTGAAACTACCGGACCAATCAAAAACTGCTTCCGGCGGTCCTGAACTTGGATTTACATTTACAATTAGATCCATTCGGTGTTACGCAGAGGTCTTGTTGACCAAATAATGAGATTCTGAGCAATGGCAGGACGAGCCGGGGTTCTCCCGATAGAGATCTTGCAACAAACCGGGGATCAGTAGAGATTAAAAGGAGACCGGCTGCATGGCCGCATTTGCTCCACATGCTGGCCCCATTGCCTATTCAGCCATTCATGTCCACGTGCCAAGGTTATAGTGTGTGATGGATGATGACCTCTGCGAGTGATATTATCAGTGTCGAAGATCTGATGCCATGTTTTTAATCTCAATCTATTTTAGAACATGTTTTCATAACGTTTTGCTGTTCACGGTTTGCTGTACATGTACTAGTGGAGTGTTCCATGATGTCACTCTGCCCAACCTCCGAACAAAGGTGAGCGCAGCCAGTTGCTGTATAGCCCAGACATTGACCATTCAAACCAGACGAAGAAAACAATTGGTTTGGACTCAGCTTGCATGTCAATAGTTCGAATGCAAAGTGCGAATCATCCATTTTGTCTCTTTTTGGGAAATGGCCGTAATGAACTCGTCTTGCTTTGTTCGTTTCGCATTTAGCTCCACATTAGGGAAGTGGTTTTAAAGTGCTTCTTGCCGGATTACTAGTATGTAGGTTAGAACTATTTACATTGTAGTGCTCAATGACCGACTGACGACGCTGAGTAGAAAGTCTGACCTTCCTAAATTTAGACACTGGTCCAGTTTTGTAGGCAGACCCTTCGATTGTGTGCCTCTTGTAGTGGTGTTGACGGAATCATAGAGCATCGAGTCGGATTGTAGTGGAATTGATGGAAGAAAGTGGTATGGTTTTTTGGTTTCTGATTGCTTGACACAGTATACTGGTGGTCAAGTGGCTATTGAAGCCACGCCATCGATTCTCCTGTCAATCCGTGAATCAGCTAACACGGAGGCACGCCATCGGCTGGAGAAGACCGTCACGCACTTCCGAAACGACGTGAGTGCATGGGACTGGCATGGCCTTTGCAGCTATGCATTTTGTAATCTCCACTAGTCAAGAATCTCTCCTCCTCTCTGCTCCAGGTGCTCTCAGCTGGCAAGTTTCTACCCTTGGTAGCCATTACACACACCAAAATGTCCAACCAACGAAGGGTCATGCGTACTTGTTACTGACATTCCTTCTGACAGTTGTTTCCTGGCTAGCCACTTGCCAGCTGAGAGCATATGGAGGAGAGGAGGAGAGATTGCATTGTAGATATCTATCTCTACTGGTCATCTAAATTATGTTTTGAACAACAGTTCTTGCAGCTGTTGTCTGCTGGATCGCGACCTGATTTTTCGACACTACTACTATTACTTATACGGTGGGAAATAGATTAATCTATCTTCGGTGGAAGTAGATTTGTATGTACACGTGTCTGGTGTTCAAGCTAAGAGCTGAGGTTGATGCTGCCAGCCACAGAGACTACCAGTCTGTAAAAAGTGTTGTTTGTGTGTGTGTGTGTGTGTGTGTGTTTTGTGTGTGTGTTTTGTGTGTGTGTTTTGTGTGTGTGTGTATGTGTGTGTGTGTGTGTGTGTGTGTGTGTGTGTGTGTGTGTATGCGTGTTCCTGCAGCGTGAATATCAAGCCACATTGGACCTAGCTGCTGCTCCTCGACAGCGCACGCCATAAACACCAGGATGCATGTGCGTGATCCTTCTTGAGTGCCGTCTCTAAGACTCGTGGAGTGTACTGCCAGGCGAAAGCACCAGCTAGATTCAGTGCGAAGAAAACTTGAGAAACCGCTACACTGCAATGCAGTATGCTTGAGCTCGATAGTATCTCTTCTATTGCAACGATGTCGTGCCATTGCGTATCATGTTTGTTGGCAGCGTACTGTCTGATCGCCAACAGTGAATACTTGATGTGTCCGCATTGAAGATCCCTCAGCTGCACAGTGCCATGCACGGGCACAAGCCGGTAAATGAATGCAAGGCGAAGTGCGTGTGCTGCTGCTGCACTGCCCGCTGTTACTCGCGGCTTTGAAGTACATGTACCGTGCTGGGTGTAGGTGTGGGAGAGGCCTATACTCTGGCATCATAACAACGGCGGTGGGCATATTGTCTTGCAGGGAATCGTATACTGAACGGCTGCATGAACAATTGAACATGTACTCGAAGTACATGGTTGAACAACTTAGAAGCAACTATTGCCTGTCTTTTTTTCTTTCTTTTTTACCGGATTTTAATCGTTTTATTACACTGTAGACAAAATGAATGAAAAACGTAAAATGTTTGGCACCTATGATCAGGGGATGGCCCACGCCTGGTAAAAATTGCCTGTCTTTAGTGTTTTACCAAGTGAAACTCTGACTGTATGGAAAGGAGGGGTTTAGACCTCCTCCTGCTTCCTACCGTCAGAATGTATTGCGGCCAAAAAAACATTATACCTTTTATATGTTTACATCGATTTCGACAATAGTGCACATTCTAATGAATACTTGTACCAACCAAGCAGATGAGCACGCCGCTGCCGGCTGCCTGTCTGTACGTGCACTGACGGGCAGTGACGGCTGTTGCTGCGTGCATGAGCGAAGTATGGGCACTTGCTCTGTCTTGCTCTGTGCCGATCACGGCACTTTCGATGGAAATTGGGCAAAGCCCTGCCACTCATTTAAAGTAATGAATACTAATGATCTTGTCTTGAGCGTTGAACTGTTCGCTGAATTATGCTAACCTTCCATAGTGTAGATGTGCGTGATGTTTTCCTATTTCAGCGAACGAAGCAGCCTGTGAAGAGTAGTGGTATGAAAGACCTTGTTGAATTTCCTGTTGCTTACGTGAGTTTTGTGTGCTTCTTTGTTTTCCTCCAACAGAACATTCTTTTTTTTAGGTTTTGTATAATTATTTCTTCCCATAATACTTGCAAATCGAAATCATCATCAACACTGATGCGTACAGTAGAGTCGCGCGCTGAAGAACGTGGAGCCCAAGAACGTCCAGCCTGAAGTTCTAAGAACACCACAGCCTAAAGCTAAGAACGGCGGTGTTGGTTTTCTAGCAGCTTGTGGGATACATATGATCCAGTACGGTTTGTTTCTAAGTACGTTCTATAAGAACGCAGCCAGATTTGTGAAAAATAATAATAAGAACGTCCCAGGCTAATAACCCCTTGGAAACAACGTTGTTGGGCGTGTGACTCTACTGTACGGTAATACATGACTGCAGTAAAACGCCCCGATTCCCGGCACGTCTGTCCGCCGGGTAGGCCTAGCCCAAATTTGCTCGGGGCGCTTCGATATTTTGCCGGCAAATTTTGCCCGATCACTTTCCATATTTTGCTAGGCATTGCCTTTCGTTTCCGATATTTTGCTCCATTTTGCTCCTGCTTTGAGGCAAAAATGGCTTCGAATGAACCGTCTACTTTGGTAAAAGTGGATGGTGACTCTGATGAGGAAAGCAAAACTTATAATGGTGTCAGTATTACGGATTTGGTAGCATAATTTCAAATTTATGTACCACTGACAACCTGCACGAGCTATTTCAGCACGACGTTGGCCCAATGAAACCAAAGAAATTTGAATAAAATTGCCAAAACACACTCGGATCCTCTGTAAATTCGATATTTTGCTCGGAATTTGCCAGCAATTTCTTTTCGTTGGAAAATTCGATATTTTGCTGGAAGAATTGCCGGCAAATTTGGGCTAGGCCTACCGCCGGGCATCTTCCTGCCCCATCTAGCCCTGTCGATTTTCTACCTGTGAATCGACTTCGGCGTATACAACGAAATACGATGTTGAACCGACCCATGCACTGCTGTACGCAATAATGTGCCAATCCAGGATGAAAATATGCACAATCCAGCACATCGAGTCTGATCCTCTACATTGTTGCACATCGTACTGCACTTCACAGCCTCGATCTTATTCCCGCCCCCTGCCGAAAATCCAGCTGGGAAGCGACATGGCGTGGGGGGGCGGATCAACGGTACTTTACGGTACATGTACTGAAGTACATACTCAATTTGTTAGATTGACAGCATGAAACTAACAAATTGCGTGAACTATGACAAGGATTATCTAATACTGGTTTTTTAACCCGTGTTAGGTCATAATACTTGTAATACCATGTACATACTCGCATGCAAGTACAAATTTTCATGCAAATCAATACTCTTGAGGGCCGTTTTCATTGACAAGCTTATTTTTGTAAGTGTACTTTTAACGGTACATTCAGACTTACAGGCAGTGCTCGGTCCTAATCTGCCCGGATCAGGGAGTTTTATCGTAATGCCGTCAGTATTCGGTGGGAAATCTACAGCTACTGTCACGCCGCAGCGGACGAGACTGTTGGACCCACCATCCGCTAGCCTAGCGCCAACGACGACTTATAACTATGTAACATGTCAACCGACGGGCTGTTGAAGAGGCTACTCATTCACGTACATGGCTTCAGTCATCTAAACTATACAACTACTTGTAGACTAAAGCTGTCCCCCGTGAATTCTGCGATTCCGCGGATTGCAGAATCCAGTAGTGTCCGCAGAATTCAGAAAATCCCGCGGAATATTGTAGAAAAGAGAAAAACTGCTTTTTCTGGAGACTTTTTGATGTATTAACAGTCAGAATCCTGCCACGGCCAGTCCAAGGGACGGTTTTAGAGGCCACACATGCATCATCATGATCCCAAACCAGCCCGTGGCCCTCCTTATCATGGCCTTGATGATCCCAAATGAGACCCAAACCGGCCCATAATGGCCATCCACACCGTAGAAACATGGCGACGCGTGATAATCAAGAAAATGACAGTTCTAACACCATTTATCGAGAGCAGAGACAAACCAGGTGTCCACAGACACGTTCAGCAGAATTAAAGCGGAAGACCAGCAGCATTGTGAGTAGTATTATTATATGTGCCAGTAATGCGTGGCACGAGTTGCAAAGAGCGCCACGGGCGTTCGCACAGCAAAACTAAGACCGTTGCTGAGAAATGCAATCATAAGTAGCACACCTGACAAAACAAGTAGGGTAAGTATTATGCCATTCACAAGGCGGGAATAGAAGGTACTCATGCAAGAATAGACCCAGAGAGAGAGAGGGGGAGAGAGGGAGGGAGGGAGGGAGAGAGAGTCAATAAGCTCAGATAAGTTCAAGGATGGAGTTTTTAATAGCTTCAAGTGACCCTGCCACAAGATAACGACCATGGCATGGGGATAAAGAGAAAGGGAAAACAACCTAATGCTAGGAATCATGAAGTGCGGAGGCGTAACGGTATTGTTATTGACAGCCCTAGATGGTGACTGTGGGTGTCCGTGTGTGCGTGGTGTGTAGCGGGGGAAACGAGTAAGTGAGAATAAGTCAAAGATGTCTACATCCTATACATTCTAGACAGGACCTAGCGGAGGATATTATATTGACACAGACCAGGAGTAGAGAAACCTAAAAGAAATGATACGAGACAATAACATGCTCTCCGAACCCTCTCGGAGGAGCGCGCTGAGGGCCATAACAGTGAAACAATAAATTAAGACATTTGTTAAGGGGATCAACGTAGAAGGTAGCGCCCTTGGGGCAAGAGGCTCGTCGAGACAGAAAATAGCGGCGGTACCCGGAAAAATGAGGCCGCTCTGAACGCAACAGAATACGCAGGATAACGCTAAACCGCCGTTACACGTGTGAGCAGGCCAACAGAATACGCAGGATAGCGCGCTAACCCGCCGCTACACGTGTGAGCAGGCCAGCAGCGACAGAAGAAACGCAAGGCATATCATCAGCTTTGTACGGGATGCATGAGCACTATCATGTGCTAACTAGTTACTTAGCGCCGTCAATGGGCCACTCAGGCTCCGGCAGATACAGCGTAGATATGATTACGATGACGAACCCCGGGGGATTTTTACGTTTTAAGTGGAGAGCTTGTGCGTACGTGCGTGATTGCACTTTGGTCAGGAACAGTGTGGAGTATGCCCTCGTGGAGTGGAGCGGGCTCGGCACGAGCCGGTGTCGGCGAATAAAACGGCGATGAAGGGAATATAGCGAATTGCTCAGCAATTAGTTGGAAAGTCAAGAGTGTGTGTGTGTGTGTGCATTAATCAAGACACGACGGGTGACGCTACCATGCTGGGACCGGCCAAGCATAACGCGCTGCTAACCTTGGTTTTTGGGAGGCGTGTACCAACCTGGAGAGAGAACAAAGCAAAACCAATGGGAACACGAGCAGGCTAAGCGACAAAGATGACCGTAGTAGCAGTACCGCCCCAAACCCCACCACCACCAGCCATAACAGCACCATCACTCCACCGGCAAGAGCAGCAGCACAACATCACAACAGCAACGCTCCACCAGCAGAGGCAACAGCCGCAGCAAAGCCAACACCGGAAGAAAAAAACAGCAACGCCAACATCCCACCAGCAATAGCAGCCCCACCAATACAGCACAAACAACACAACTATGGGCGGGGGTGAGAGACACTACAAACAGAATAGCTGCCCCATCAAAAAGACTAGACAAGAACGAGCAGCCTGCTCACCATATGGACTGAGAAGGGAGATAGATACAGGGCAATAACAGACAGACAGTGTGGCAGTCCAGAGATAGATACAGGGCACCAACAGACAGGACAGTGTGGCAGTCCAGAGATAGATACAGGTACGGTACCAACAGACAGGACAGTGTGGCAGTCCAGAGATAGATATAGGGCACCAACAGACAGACAGTGTGGCAGTCCACGACAAAGACTGATGCTCACCATTTTTGGCATGCGTCGCCGTCAGTGCTTTGAACGAGGCCTGAGCACGCTGTAAGTTGTAATGGCCGGTTTCCGGCTGCAGCAAAATGCCGCCAAAGAAATACACAGTATTATTATTTTAAGTGTATTCCCGCAAATGTGGCGAGGTTGCCACTCTCGCTTATGCCATTCAGGACATCATGAAGAACAAAGAGAGAGAGAGAGAGAGAGAGAGAGAGAGAGAGAGAGAGAGAGAGAGAGAGAGAGAGAGAGAGAGAGAGACAGAGAGAGACAGAAGAGAAAAAAAGAAACACAGTGGACCTTGCAGAGCGAGAAAGCACCATACAGTCTAGAGGTAGCATGCTTCAATCTCACATCTAAATCACTATGTGAGCCACAACAATATACATACGCATGCATACAGACACACACGCACACACGTACACACACACACACACATACCGTGAGGTTGCGTATAAAATCAGGTGCTTACGGAAGTCTAAACCGGAGTTCAAACCATGCTTCTATGTCAACATCGTCAGTCTACACCGCGCAATGCATGTACAGTGCGTATTGGTTATAGCGTGGTCGTGTAAAAGAATATACCGCCTACAAGAATGAACTCTCATGTTTTCATAATCATAACATGGGTTTCAAGTGCACTTTTATTCTTACGAGCAATGTTATCGCAGAGTAGAATATATCGGTCCTAAGAATGGACTTTGTGTAGCGAAACATGCCAGATTAGTACAAAGTGTATCGCCTGTAGTAATAACATCTGTCCCATGCAGTTCTGATCAGACTCGTGTTGCGTTGTAGTGCTGCAGGTTCAACTGTTGTGGTCATGTAACTCATGTAGGATAGCCACATGGTAAGCCTATGGGACTATGACCAGCCGCATGCACAGTAGCACAACGTTGCACGTAGACCATCTACGATGATCTTCCTGCCCCTGCGCACATGCATTATGATGTCACACTTGATGTATCGTGTGTAAGAAATATCGGAAATAAGAGTAGAAAGTCGTTTTTCAAACACCCACGCTATGACCGATACCTACTGTACTTGCACGTGTAACTTTGCAGAGGGCGGCTTCTATTCAAATCGTGCTTCTGTGTCACGGCGCTCTTCGAAAAATCAGCGTCTATTCGAGCCATGCTCCTATACAGGTCATGCTTTTATACAAGTCATGCATTTATACGCGACACTACAGTATGCACACACACATGCGCACACATGTGCACACACACGCACACATATGCACACATATGCACACATATGCACACACACACACACACACACACACACACACACACACACACACACACACACACACACACACACACACACACACACACACACACACACACACACACACATATGCACACAAGTGCACACACCTGTGCACGCCCATATGCACACACATACATATGCACACACATATGCACCCAACCCCCCCCCCCCCCACACACACACACACAACGTAGCAAACTTACATTCTCGCTGATAGCGGCGTTACCCTTCGCGATTGTGACCATGATTTGAAGGATAAGTGACTCAATGCTGTATGCCACACTCCAGCCCTAAGGAAATCAATCGGATCGTCACAAAATAAGCACATGCACGCACACACACACACACACACACACACACACACACACACACACACACACGCACACACACATGCATAAATACAGAGAAGAAGAAGAGTCCGGGCCTTTCTACAGAATACCACAACAATATGGTGAATACTATCGTGGACAGTAACGATGAGAGGCATCAACCCGCTGGCAACGATAGACAAGTAAAAATGAAGCAGACAGAGAGAACCATACATACCAAGAGTACATAAACCAGAGTGTGCAACTGTGCATACCAGATCTGAAACAGCGCAGTTCGTGCACTACGTCACCCTGATGAGGTCAGCCAAGCCGCGACTTGCGTACCGCCCAAACTTTCATGTTTCATAGCCCGGAAATCAGCCAAGTTTGCTTGATTTTTAGACGTCCTGGGTCAGGATTTCGGTGTTTTGTGTGACTGTGTACGCTGCGTACATCCACCGACAAGTAAAGTCACCAGGCTATCCGTATCAAAAAATCGAAATCAGGACAAACTCAGTGACCTGCACCACCGCGTCTGGTTACGCAACTTTTCACCGTACCTGTGGCTTACCATGCCGTTAGAAATGACGTACTACACGAATTACGCTCCCACAGGAACCGTCCCGAGTTGCACACTCTGGTTTATGTACTCTTGTACATACTCATAGCACTCTCCAAGCGACCTCTGGTATGTACCTCGAATGACTTTATTCTTTTTCAGTGGTTGGTTGTTGCTGTTGTATAAATAAAGTATAGAACAACAACAAACCATTGAAAAAGAATGAAGTCATTCGGAATTTTTTCGGGCAAGATGTATCTCTAGGCCTTGCCCGAAAATTCGGATAACCTTATTCTTTTTCTGTGAGGATGCATGGTGACCGGTATAACGGATGGCTAAAGTGGAGTCTGTGCATATCCACATAGACAGGAGGAAAGGCAGAAATTCAGACAGAGAGAGAAAGAAAGAACAGGTCGCTCAATACAAGACTAGATTGGGGTTGCACGAGCAAAAGGCCCAGGAAAGACACCACAAACTACTTGCACATTCCAGGCGCAGGAGTTTCACAGCACATGAAACGGCCACCATTGACAAAACAGGCAGACTAGTCAGTCCACTTACCTGATTCGTCAGCAACTCCATACATATTGCACCGCCCGCCAAGACGAATCTAGAGAAAAGCCAATCAGGAATTGTACACATCAAGATTAGAATGATTCTAAATAGGCAATCAGTAAAGATCCGTAAAGATCGATATTTTTTTCAAGGCGATACTTGTTCACTTCTCCCCCTCAAAACGAACATACACACGTTTATGCAGGGGTCGATATTTTTTTAACCTCGTGAAATGTGACCAACGTCAACTGAAGTTCATCGTGCACCTACATGTAAGTCTACATAGGCATGTTCGCACAACCTTGCCGCGGCTATGTTGATAAGGGTGACTTTTCACTTTTTGTAGGTCATCAACTACAAGTTACACGCATAGATATTTGCACAGTGCCCGTCCATCAGGGAGTCGTACTCAAACTAGGGAGGTGACACGGCACAGGAATCCGTGTCACAGGGGTTGACTCGCACCCGTAACCCCTCGTTGTTATTTTTGGAATAGTTCAGTCCAGTCCAGTCCGAAAGGTCATACTCGGATCGACTCGCCTTCTGTACTTCACCTCCAAGCGTGCCGCATGGGTGTCTAGTTTTTGAAATTTTTGAGGCAGCACATTTCGTTTACAGCCCATCACTCGCCAGTATTCTTTGAAAGACTACCAGCAATTTGTTAGCTCCTGCCATGTCCGAACTAGTTGATAGCAGTGATGGCAACAGCAGCAGTTATGAGACGGCGTGTAGTGTTGCGGTAACTGTTCAGAACTGTTCAGAGTCGTATCCTAGGTTAACCCTTTGGAGCTCATCGTTCGAATTCGAACGATGCCAATGTCATGTGTGCAAGTGCACTCAACGAGTCACAACTCAGTCAAATCTCAACCGAATTCAACAATCGAAATACCTACGAGGTAGCAGAGAATCTAAGCTGTCGGCTCGAAAAACTCCGGAGTCGATACGAGCTAGTATAACAGAGCGGCAAGTGCTCGAAAGTTCGCTCGATTTCTCATGCGTCAGCGAAGTGCAAATTTCGTTCAAAAGTGGGATTTTCCCTCTTCCTGCCCACGCAGCGTGTGACATCACTCCCAGCGCTTTTTGTCACGGCTTTTGTGAGCCTGTTAGAAAAAATTTGAATGATTTTGAGCTAGCACGAGTGAAATGGCGAGACAAGGACTATTCCCGTTTTGGATTTGGTATTCAGCTGGCGTTCCTGGCATTCGGTAGCAGACAGCAATCGCTCTCCTGAATGAGTTTGGGCTCGCTGTCATCCTCGTTCCAAGAGCTTTCCAACGAGCCCAAGATCGTCAGAATCGGTGAAGTAGAACCAGCGTTATGATGGAAATTGGAACGAATATACTTGCAATTGCAGCTATCTCCTGACGTCGTGTGATCAGTGCAGTTCCAAAGGGTTAATCCGAATACTAAAAATTAGGGCCGAAACGATTGCCCATTTTCCCTTAACGATTAACCAATAACACTAACGATCGATTTATTGGTTTTACCGATTTTCCGAACAAGTTTTATACGTGTCATGTTGGACATCAGTATGCAGCAAAAACAATTAAATTTGTTCAACTATATACAGGTACGTATGGGTGAAAGATCCACACAGGCCCCAAAAAGACCAAAATGAAATTTGCAACGTGATATGAGCAGTGTTCCTCTGCCATTAAACATCAACGATCAGTCGTCTGTCTTCTACAATGGAGAAGGGTCAACTGGAATCGACAATCCAGTCGATGATCGACTCCGTCAACATGCCTGAGCGCCTGCTGCTGAGTGTCGCACGTTCGCAAGTTATCTGTGCCGAAGAACGACGTGATGGGCTTCATTCCAGCACTGTTCGTCGCATTGTCACTGCGCTCAACATTGCTGGTAGTCGCCGTTGCTGTCGACTGGGTTGCTGATCCTTTCCCTACCGCAGCGGCGTACTGGTCTTTATGAACAGAAATCAGGTGCTGGAACAAGTTGGTTGTGCCGCTTTGACGGACGAACTCGCGGCTGCACGAATTGCATCTCGCTACGCTATCAGCTTCCTCGAAATATGCCCACGCTGGCGATCTCTTGGTCAGACTAACTTTCGCTTTTCCAGGCGGCAGCATTGTCACTGCTCTCCTCGCCAAAAAATCAAAACTAACTAAGTTTTTGACAAGAACTGAACAAATTAGAAAGGGGAGGGAGAGAAGGATTATAAGAGAAGTACAGCCAGTGATATTGTCATGTTGAAATACTACAATTTTGACACAAATTACACATAACACGAAGCCAGGTTTTGAAAAATGTAAGTCGTGTATCTGCCCCATTTCTTCTTTATGACTTGCACAATGGTCCAGTCTGCCTAAATAACACATTTATAGCAGGGGTTATGTACCATATCAGAGAAGTACAGCCAGTGATATTGTCATGTCTAAATACTACAATTTTGACACAAATTACACATAACACGAAGCTGGTTTTTGAAAATTGTAAGTCGTGTATCTGCCCCATTTCTTCTTTATGACTTGCACAATACACCAGTCTTCCTAAACAACACATATATAGCGGGGGTTAACCCTTTAAGAGCCGCCCCATACTTGAATGCGTCGTAAACGACGCATTCAAATGCAAAACTTCAAAAGATCGTAACTCAGTCCAATCTCGCTCAAATCCAGTGATCAAAATATCCAGGGCGAAGAGAAAACTCTCACCTGTCGGGAGAAACAATCCGCGAAGCGCTGCGAGCTACGGTTCCTGAGATAAATCACTCGTAAGTTCAGCCGCGATCGCGGCAATTTCAAAAGCGCGCAGTGCGACTTTGGTATTGAGAATTTTGAGACTTTTCGTCACGCTGGTTTACTCGAATTTGCACGGGTTTCACTTTTGATATTGTCAAGAGTACACAGCGAAAAAATTGGAACTCCACGATCGAGCAAAATGAAATATCTGGAGCGGGACGCAATTGGACGCATTTGGGGCATTTTTCGTACTGTTGCTGCGATCTAGCGCTGGATAGACGGTGTGCCGGCGATCATGATCGACCTCATTCTCTTCGTCTCGCGGAGACCTTTCAAGGAAGCCCTAGTTTGTGAGGATTGAGTGAGTAGAACTGAAGCTATGATCCAAGGAACACGAAAAAATGCAGAATTTTGAACTTTTCCTGTGGCTCTTAAAGGGTTAAGTTCCATACAAGAGAGCTACATTGTACATCTAGTCATACTGTCATAAACAGCCAGCATTTTTCCTGCAGCAGTCACACCACCATCATCATTATTTCCAGGGAAATCCTCTTACATTGTCAGCTCCTACGTCGTTAGATACAATGTAGGGGGCTGTAGGACCGGCTCGTCAAAAATAGAGAACCTGAACAAGCGTGCTCGGGACGTCTCAGCAATTGTAGTATGCCTGAGCACTCCAATAAAAACTTGATCAATGGCAAAATCATTCCCCACAGAAAAATCATACTTTGCGGGTCTTGCGTTGCACGCTTGGAGGTGAAGTACAGAAGGCGAGTCGATCCGAGTATGACCTTTCGGACTGGACTGGACTGAACTATTCCAAAAATAACAACGAGGGGTTACGGGTGCGAGTCAACCCCTGTGACACGGATTTCTGTGCCGTGTCACCTCCCTAGTTTGAGTACGACTCCCTGCCGTCCATACACAAGACGAACAGGACCCCCCACCAACGTTGAACTTGGAGCAGCTGCAGTAGACGACGGCGACGACGGCTGCTGGGGCAGGAACGATCTCATGCCAACTGATGAGCTGGCGCAGGAACGCATCTCACGATGTTTTTTTCCCGTCAGCATGGCTGCTAAGGGCAGCATCGACCATGGCGGCGACTGAGAAAGTCGTTCTGCACAGCTTACACCGAGCACGGTGTTTATCCGAATCGCCAGGCAGCCATGACTGGTACTTCTGCTCCTCGAGCCACTTCACTTGAAACGAGCAGTTGCCCATTTTCTTGGTGTCACAAAGAAACAAAACAAAAGTGATTGATGGAAGCCCGAGTCGACCAAAAGCTGTTTGCAATGTTCGACAAGCGCGACGTCAACGGAAAAAAGTAACCGGTTTTAGAAGGCTAAGGCCGCGGTCACACACAGCTACGGCGGAGGTGGAAGTCCCGCCAAAGACATGTGTGACCGCGGTCTGAGGTGTCATTTTTGAACAAAAACCGTTTTTCAAGGCTTTTCAAGGCCGTTCAGCGCTTTTTTTCCAAAATTCAAGTACTATTCAAGGGCCTTGAAGGATTTTTCAAAATTAAAGCACTTTCAAGGCTTTTAAGGCCCTGTGCGAACCATGGAGAGAGCGAGAGAGCGAGAGAGCGAGAGAGAGAGAGAGAGAGAGAGAGAGAGAGAGAGAGAGAGAGAGAGAGAGAGAGAGAGAGAGAGAGAGAGAGAGAGAGACACACACACACACAGAGGGAGACAGAGATAGAAAGAGAGAGACAGAGACACAGAGAGATAGAAAGAGAGAGGGAGAGAGATAGATAGAGAGAGAGAGAGAGAGAGAGAGAGAGAGAGAGAGAGAGAGAGAGAGAGAGAGAGCGAGAGCGAGAGCGAGAGAGAGAGAGAGAGAGAGAGAGAGAGAGAGAGAGAGAGAGAGAGAGAGAGAGAGAGAGAGAGAGAGAGAGAGAGAGAGAGAGAGAGAGAGACACACACACACACACACACAATGCTTACCCTCCAGTGACGACTGGACTGACTACTCTGACGAACGGCGGTGAAACAGGGAATTTATCCTGGGACAGGTGACAACAGAAGGAGGAGAGACAGGAAGAAAATGAACAATTAGCCAAGCAACAGATCTCTGTGCGGTACAATACAGATGGTGGCACATCATAACTTGATTAACATACCGTAAAAGTCCCTGTATACGCCCACTCGAAATTACGCCCACCCTCCGTGTACACGCCCGGTCAGGGGAAGTCAACACTTTTGTTTCAAAATAGCGCCCATGCCCATGTATACGCCCAGGTATACCGGCAACACCAGTACCTGTACAGGTACTGATACCCAATACTTACTGCTATCCCTATTCCAAGTATGCCCTGTTCCAAAATAACGCGCGTGCCCTTGTATATGCCCAGGAAATCGAGGCTGCTATTCCATACCGTATACGCCCGGGGCCTATACACGGGCTTTTAGGGTATACCAACATGCTCACGTAAAAACAAGTCAGCAAAGACTGGAAAGTGAAGGTCACGCATTCGTACCGCATGGGGTTCTGTTGGAAAGCAGGATAGGGGAACTGGCAGCACGAACCAGAACACGGCCACTACTCACGGAATAAGTGATGTTCAGCTCGATGCACTGCTGTGCTTTCTTCTTCACAGAGAGCTTCTCCAAGTCGCGATGGATTCTACTGTCCTTGTCAAAGCTGAAGTGGTCAACAAGAAGACAGAGAAAGAGCGTAAACCACACGCACACACTCACACACCTGCCCATCGCTGAAGCGATGATAGCGAACAAGCTATGTTAGACATAGCAACTTGTGCTGGGATTACATCATTCAACAGCTTGTAAGGCACACACACACACACACACACACACACACACACACACACACACACACACACACACACGAGTGCACGCGTTGTGGGCATGCTCATCACAAAAAGGCAAGGGTAGCGTAACCGTGCAATGAATAGGAATTAATGGGAGAAATTCAAACAGTCAGCCCATGCAACTCCACACACACACACACACACACACACACACACACACACACACACACACACGCACATACACACACACACACACACACACACGCATGCAAACACGCACAGATGTACGATTCGGGGGAGGTCATGCGCGCTTACTTGAATAGCTTCACAGTCCAGTCGTATAGGCTGTCTCCGTGCGTCAGAGATACGCTGTATACGCCTTCTTTGACTGCTTCTGATCGGAAGATTGCGCGTAACTCCTTCATTAGTCTGTCCGATGCACGTACAGAACCGCCAATGGGCTTGCCCTAAAATTGCAGTCACCAAAACAAAACAAAAAAACACACACGTCAACATCACAACAGCACAGCATCAATCAATAAAGAAACCCTGCTGATGGCAGCAATGGACAGAAAATCTCGCTGCCGTCACCAAGGTAACCTTAGGGGTACGCACACCAAAACGGGTCCAAAACCCTGACATAACTTATCCTGGACAGGGAATGGGGAACAGACGTTTAGCCTGAAGGGCATCGTGCATGTATGGTCATCCTCACGAGCATCTAATCTGGCTCATAAGATACACACTATCAAACATGTCAAACGACTCACTTCCCGTAGATCGGGTTTCTTGACAGCCACGTGACAGGTAGGAAAAAAAACCAAAGAGTGAACGCGCTTGACAGAAACAATTTGTTTTTCCGTCGCATCTCAAATTTTTCACGAAACCCCAAAGCCATCTTTTAGCTAAGCGCGGGCCCGTATGCCTGTTGTGTGGAGGGTAAAACAGCGCCACAACATTCATACGTAATAGCCAGGTGTACATCTTATTCGAGTCTCTTTTTAAATCCTGCATCGCAAAAGCGATCTGCCTAAACACACACACACACACACACACACACACACACACCAACACACATACCACACACACATGCGCGTACACACACACACACACACACAGGCCACCTACAACATGGAAGAACAAAGGAAGACGGCCGGCTCTTACCGAAGTATATCGTGTCAGCGTCGATTTTTTTACTTTCTCCAAAACGGCGCGGTCACCAGCGTCCATGTCGCAGCCGCTGTCCACACCTGCCGCCCCATCACAACTGCTCAACAACAACACGCAAAGGTCCACACACACACAAGAATAAAGATCAGCAACACAATGGCAAAAAGCAAAGTGCAAGCAAGATCATTGCTGTAGTGTCTAGCTGAGCTCCGTCACAACCATCACCGTCGGTTACCGCCATCGCCCCCGCCAACACCACTGCCAAGACACCTGTTTCCACTCACCACTGCTTCTTACACCGCCATCGCCCCCGCCAACACCACTGCCAATACACCCGTTTCCACCCAGCACTGCTTCTCACACCGCCATCGCCCCCGCCAACACCACTGCCAAGACACCCGTTTCCACCCAGCACTGCTTCTCACACCGCCACCACCACCGCCCACTCCCAGCAACAGATGTGCAGAGAGCAGCAAAACAAGATGACCACACGCCAACACCCAAAGAAAGAAAGAAGAAACAGACAGCTCATAAAGCCAACGCCGCTCTTTCAGCATAGTCTGGGTTAGAAACAGCAGCCAGGAAAAAATGGACAAGTAAAAGCGCTCCACTTTACTACATCCTCCAACCGTCACCAGCACCATGCGCCCCGAGCCGAACCAATGCATGAATCATAAACAGGACCCATTGCGCAATGACGTAATTTGCACCATAAACACCCTTCACAGCCACCTGGGCAAAGTGGGCATGGCCGTCTGGGATGTTGAACAGTGCATTCCTGATCCCAGCGTACTCACAAGCATTACTCACACATTCCATGTTTGGCAATGCGCAATGGGTCAATTGTGAGGTTAAATGCTTACGGGTCAATCGCATTCGAGAACAGCTCCATGCCATATTCCTCCTGCACATCGAACACATTTAAAATTAAGAAAAGGAGAACAGACGGAACAGAATGTATACTGATGATGAGCACACCCACCCTTGCAACGATGCATTACAACCACCTGCGGGTCCTTGAAAACATTTTTCAAAATTATAAAACACGTCCCAGAGTTCCTACACAAGCCTGTTCAGACAATGGGACAGTTGAGTGCTAAAGTGATCCCGGAAACACAACGTCACTGGCGCACCGCCCTGATCGGCTACTGCAGTGGTCACGGCAAAGCGAATTCCGACCCTCAAAACTACAGCATAGCCATGATCACCATGTCAGTAGTGCGTCGACTGCATACCAGCCAGTGGTACAGTGCGTACACTGGGCACTCTTCTCAGTGCGTACACAGGGCGCTCTTCTCCGGATTGAATCAAACGCGTACACCAGTTCCGGATACGATAAAAGCAAGACGCGGAGCATTGCAGATGCCATGGACTACTTCACGCAAACACAAGGCAGCTAACTTTCGCCATTGAGTAAGAACAATGAATTTACTCGGTTCTAAAGCACTGCTTGTTTACGGCCTTTAGAGGCAGAGTACGTGGACATCCCACTGCATTGCCGAGGACAGCAAATTCGAGATAGATCAAGATTGACTGGATCATGCACATACTCATACTCCTGCCCATCGCTTAAGCGATGATAACGAACACACTATGTAACTATTGATAGACATAGCAACGTGTGCACATGCTAGCACATACACGCACGGACGCGGACACGTACGCACATCGTAACACCACACACACACACACACATGCACGAGTCATAGCAGTCACGTTCGTACGCCACTCTAATCTCACCCATTCGGCTCACTCACCATTTCTTCGTCATAGCTATCCACGTCCATGCCATCCTCCACATCATCGTCCTCCTCCTCATCATCTTCACCCTGTGCACAGCTACATTCTGATGACTGAGAACTGGCACCACCTGATGCACTAGCCTGATAGAGCAATATGCAGACACACATCAAATTTCAGGATGGAAGTGTGTTCAAAAACAGAATCGTGCGTGTGCAGACATCGGCACACGCGCATGTACATGTACATGTACACGCGGTACACGCGGCACACACACACACCACACACACACACAGAAAAACACGCACACACGCGCACACACATGCGCACACGCACGCACACACACCATGTATGTGTATACGCCCGTCGCAAGAGAAGCACGCAAATCTGCAAATGCACTGGATGTGCACCCACAGATTTTCTCTTTATAGCAACGATAGCGGATCTGATTCTGATTGAAACAGATCAAGACAAGCGCCAGATAACTGTCTAATCCACACAACTGGCGAAGCCATGTGAATCGACCCCCCAATGTACACCTGGTCTACACCACACGGAGTACATCGGAATAGGACGGCCAAGACAGTTACCTATGCACACACACACACACACACACACACACACACACACACACACACACACACACACACGAACACACGAACACACGAACACACGAACGAACACACACGCACACACACACGAACACACACACACACACACACACACACACACACACACACACACACACACACACACACACACACACACACACACACACACACACACACACACACACACACACACACACACACACACACACACACACACACACACACACACACACACACACACACACACACACACACACACACACACACACACACACACACACACACACACACACACACACACACACACACACACACACACACACACACACACACACACACACACACACACACACACACACACACACACACACACACACACACACACACACACACACACACACACACACACACACACACACACACGTACAGAACATCACACAATGAATGAATTCCACATGGTACAAGACAGTATAGTAGACACACACAGTGACCTCCAACAGAGTCTCAAGTGCAGGGATACAGAGTGTTCTTCCTGCTAATTCCCACAGGCCACGGCTGTTCATATGATCACGTCAGCGGACATCTAAGATGGCGTCGGCTTTGAGCATGAGTCATTTGAAAATTCTGCTCGAGATACGCATTTTTCCTAAACTTATCGTAGCAAACGATGATATCTTCGGCTTCCTCCGAGCCTGTTGACCAGTAACTCGCGATTTTCCAGAAGAGAAAGGAAAGACGAATCGTTTGATACCTCGCTCGACGACGAGCGTCGTTTTGGTCCCGATCGTCGAAGAGAATTGGGCCATTTTTTGTTCGTCGTAACTATTGTTGTATGTTGTTATGTAGCCGTATTTCCTGTTCCCAGAGAAGCGTTGCTGGAGTTTTCCCGTGCTTTCAGGGAGTTTTCCTGGTTGGCCCAAGGCTTCGGCCATCCGACAAACATAAATTCGTGAGCGGAAGCTGGTACATTTTTTTGGAAGCTGGTGGAGATGTTCTTGCACTTTGTGTGATTTTTAGGGCTCGATGGATGGTCTTCTGCATGTCCTGGCATCTGTATGCTGGATCGGTGGCCAGAAATTCGCTGATTAGCCTTGCAGTACTACGTACTTTGCAGCTGAGCATGAAAAATGGCCTCAAGGGCATGGGAGTTGATATTTCGGAGGACTTACTTGAACATCATGCTGCTGCGATCATGATAATTGTGCACAATTGTGTTACATGACAGTCGCACTACTAAGCAGTGATAGCTGTTCCTTGTGTTGAATTGAGTACAAACATTATACATCATGACTAGAAACTACCACGCGATCAAAGGTATGCACAGCACGAGTACGCAGCAGCCGAGTCCTGGAAGACGCTCGCACCGTGATTTGGTGGTAGCGGCATAGCACAGTAGAATGCATGCAGCATACTCCTGTGTTAAGCCACAACTGACAAACGTTACGTGCCTACAACAAGTCATCTACAACAATGTACATGCCATCAATTATATATTCACAGCGTAACGGCACAACTTCCGAAGGCAGATGTCACAATTGGAAGAGAACATATTTACCAGGCAGACAAACTGGGTGTAACTCCAGTCAGACAGCACAGGCATAAGTCACAGCAAAAGCACACTCATAGTCATGGCTACACACAACACACGCAGGATCGCATACGTGCGCGCGCACACGCACTCACCCAGACGCACACACAACATGAATACCGATGTGCGGCACTGAAAAATTTACACTGCAATAAGAACAGGAAAATGAGCACATACGTGGTGTATGACTACCACTCAATAATGGAAAAAGGCACTAGATTTAAAGTTCAGCTGAGGCCGCGTGACGGTGTTATGTCCTGGGTCAGACTCTTCGTGGAAACAACCATGCACGGAGATAACAATAACTATGGACTGTCGGGATTAAGTGGAGTGCAGCCATGCTTACACACTGCCACTGTCCAAAGAGGATGATGGATTCATCGCCTGCTGACGTGTTAGATGAGGGCAAACAGTAACACACCCTGCGGACCCTCAAGGCTGATCATAAGGCTTTCGTTGCTGCTGGTTCCCAGACGTCGCTCACAACGATGTGTAGTAGCGTTGTTATCCGGTCCTGAATTCTGCTGGTCGAGATCAGCCATACCGTTGTGCCAGTTTTGCATCTTGACCTGGGGATCCATCCCTGGATTTACGCTGCATCAATGCTGGCAGAGGTCGGCCAGCTTGATAAGCACAACGCCAGCCGCATCCAACGGCAACAGCAACGAGCAGCACACAGCATTGGTCACACTACATGCCAAGCTGCAGCAATGCATAGCCGACGCGGAAGCAGCCTAGCAGAAAGCCCCATGCATTTAAGGCTGGCCCAGCAACTTAGTTCTGCAAGGCCATTAGCAGTGTGCCACCAGCAGCATTTTGGAGGTTGTGCCGGCAACTAAATCCAGCAGGAGTCGCAGGCAGCATTGCATGATCAGACTGACAATTTCAGGCGACAGTTTGTTGCTGAATCTCCTGCTCACTCCCATCATATCACTACAAGGTAGCTCATCCATACAGCTAATACTGTGCGGTGCTCTTATGTCGTTGCCGCGGAATGATACTACAGTAATACCAACTGTAAGAAGCCGTGTTGGATCAGTTTTACACTGGTTGCTGTATTCCGAGCTCCAATAGATATTCCTGGGACAAAACCACGAACTAGAAATTCAGTCTTGCACTGTTTCTTCACTTCCATTGTCTTCTGCAGATTAATGATGATGGCTTAGCACTGAGCAACATCGAACATTTCATGAGCTCGTTCAAGACGAGATCGTGAAGAGAAACAAATGCCATGTTACCCCTAATCTGCACCTTTTAGAGATGCACGCCGTGCCAGCTGTAACCCGACTCCATGTGGCCTTGGCTTGCTAGTTGAGCAAGGCTCAGAGAGCCGCATCCATGCGGAATTCAACTCCCACTCTTATTAGAGTGAAGCGTTCCTGCGCCCATGAAACGGCTCGAAGCGATCGCAACGCCTATCAAGAACGCTGCCCATGTCCAGGCCACTCCGTGGCCGTAGCTAAGGCATGGAGGAAAACGGCATCCACTATAATCCTTCTCTTTCGGCTAGCTTACTCCATAGTGACTAAGTCCTGCTCTTCTTCGTCCTCCTTCTGTTACAATTTTTATTTTGTTGCTTTGATCTTCGCGTTTGGTCAGGTCTAACAAACCCAATTTACATAGGGTTACCTAGTTGATTCTACTTGATTCCAAAAGGATCCACCTGAAAACACACCAAGTTCATAAATCGAACGTGCAATGTGCAAATTTGCGATTTTCCAGTGAATTCGACGCCATTTTGATAGATGGCCGCAGCTGAACAGCCGTGAGGCGTATCTTCCAGGAAGACCTAGACAAATAGACAAAATGTTTTTTGCGCTGTCTGCAACCACTCACGCAAACAAAAGCCACTGAGAGGCGATTTTCGCATGAATCGCGCACAGAAGCCATACCACCGGCACCATGAGTACGCACAAACATACAGACGCACGCGCGCGCGGAACAAACACTCGTCTGCTCGCCTCTGGTTGACAGCTTGCGACAGCCGTTATCAAGCCTAGACGCACGGGGGCCGAGTAGTTGGTGTAATCAGACGGCTACTGCGCCAGGCTGTCACACGCACACGAAGCGACAATCGATCGGGGTGACCGGTTGGTGAGCTGGACCACTACGATGAGTCCATGATGGAGAGATCCAGTACAAGACAAAATGCCCACGCGACGCACCAGAAATTGAGAATACATACAAACAGACACGAATCACGACTGTCTCGGTAAGGATGCGTGCCTACGGACGGACGGACACATGGACAAGACTACCGAGACGCAAATGAAGCTGTAAATCAGCTGCCGACAGCTAGAACACACGCCACACGGGCACAGCCCCCATTCAAGCGATCGCCATTGTCGGAAAGGCTGAGAAGTGAAGGAACGTGTGTGCCCCACTTGCTCACGCAAGTATTCCCAGTGGATGGACGACTCACAGACGTACAAAAACACGGAGACTAACCTGCGCTGACGAGCTGCTTGCAACGACATTATAACTCGCTTCTATTTCCCTTAGTTCGCTGAGCTCTGGAAGCTGAGAGAGACTTCGCTTCTGGCAAACTGTTGAGAGCAGAGTGAGCATGGATCCCGTAATCTGCAAAATGAAAATACAAAAATTCAAGGCATACGTAATTGTTAGAAAGATGTACATGATAGATCTGTAACAAACACGACTACAACTCACCGTGATCTTGCCCTGGTTCAGTATCTCTTCAATGGCACTTACAATACTGGCATCATCCTCATCCGTAAACCACATCGGTGGTGTCTCCAGGTAGCTATCCTGAATGCACATGTGAGGACAATAGCATTCGATTCATTTCAGCAATGCAAAACCAGGGAAATGTAACTCGACAATGAACTCTCACCAAGCCAGTACACGTCATGACGAACTTCTTCTTGCCATCAAGAAAGTGGACGATGATTTCATCATATCCAGTAGATACAATCCTCACTCGCTTGTGGTCGCGGGGAAAGAGAGCCGAGAGAGAAGCTACTTCTGCCTTCAGTCTCTTGAACGACATTGTCGTCAAGAGAAGAGACGCACGAGCACCTCGCACGGTCAGTGAATACTACAGGCCTACTTGGAGAACAAAGCAATCTTAAAACAACTCTGTAGAGAAGAAAAGACAGAGAGAGCGGCCTTGCTCGTTTACACTCTATTCTAGAAACAAAGACAAAGGACGAAAAGTAGGGACATGCAACAGCTGATTCGAGTAGGCAATCTTTCTTCTTGCTCCGCTGCACTCAACATCGAACAGCGAAAAGGAAACATCAAGCGATTTTCTACTGGGTAGTGGACGGCTTTCCTAATACGAATGGTAATTTCGAGCTTTCGAAGCGAATCAAAGAAAGAGTCACGCAGTTTGAAACAGGAATTTGAAACCTAACTGGTTTTGTTTATTTTTCCAGAATGTGAGGACATTTTCCAACGTTTTTGATTTTTTGAACAGCGTCGCATGCCACAATTAGGGGAGTCCCCATGTTGATAGGATTGCACCTTTATAATTTGCTAGACACTGTAGGTTTTTACCTAATTCACTTAATTCGGTCCACATGTTTGTAAAATCGCACTGGAAACGCTTGTTTTTCAGGATAGAAAGATGACGTGGCGTAAACGTGCTTGCAGTGCGACCTGAACAGAGATCACTCAGAATCGTGAGTCCGGTGAGGAGTTGGTGAAGATTGGAGCAAGAAAGGAAAAAACAATTATTTTGTTTGGTAGCCTGAGCACTTTAGGATACTGTGATCGTGACCTTTACTGAGGTTGCGATGGAAAGCGTAGTGATAGCATTGACTGTTCTCTTGTGCGTTGTTCCCCGTGCCCTCGAAGCAGGTTAGCAACTGAACTCTATCTCGTTCCGACTTCAACTTTTTAGCATTACAGTCATAGTTATATCTTGACCCAACGATTTTCCTTGGTCGCTGTTGTGTGCAGCTGGGAATGCTCCACAGGTAACATGCGGTACTCTGGTGAAGTTGCAGCATGTGAAAACAGGAGTTCGGCTTCACTCGCACGAAGTCACGTATGGCTCAGGTAGCGGTCAGCAGGTGAGAATCCAGTTTAGAACGTTTGTTCTCGTTTGCTGACTGCGTGTGCGCGCGTACGCGTGTCTGTGTATGCGTGAATTTGTGGGTGCGTAACTTAGACCATTGCCATAAGAGACTACGGAGTTCGTGAAATCCAGCTTGCCACCCACCCCAAGCTTTCCCCTCAAGACAGACTGGACTCATTATGTCATGTACATAAGGGACATAGTAATACAATCATGCACATAGAGGCACTGTGCAATAGTGCTCAAATGCCCAGAATGGGCAGAGCGTAGTACACAAGAGGTACACAAAAGGAAGTAAATAGAGCTGTTTTTTGTTGTTACTCAGAGTATACAGATATATATGGGGCTCATACATCTACATAGGGGGCTCACAGACCCTGTGATTTGAAAATAGGTGGCGGGTGATCTATCGCTCTCCTCGCCTGTGTCAGGCGAGCTGTAGGAGAGTGATCCAAAAATTCTCACTCCAACAACACAGCACATTATTGATATCATTTTTTTAGAGAAAAAATTCTGGATGCTTTCTGAATTTCCACCATTGTCTTGAAAGATGACAGCGGTTGGCCGTGAACTGCCATTAAATATGCAGTGTGGAAGAGCTTTTCGTATGCGTCCTCCGCTTGGACTAGAATAGCTGTGTGTATGCGTGGCTGCTGAGGCGCTTGTGTTGCCTTGCTCCCTGATGCAGACGTCGACGATGATTTGTCGGTGTCACCCAATAGCTTCGCATGGCTCACTCCGATGCTATGCGCCTACATGACAACAAGCGAAGAAAACAAGGAGAATGGTCGCGAGTCCGATCGACTTTACTTTCGACATTGAATTGACCACTTACCTGTTCAGACAAATGTCGAGTGACAGCGTGCTTCGTCATGTAGTCCGATCCCTCCACAAACCTCAACGCATCGACCTTCGCTTGACCTCTCAGCCATAGAGTCGCTCCGGATAACGTCAGAATACTTCGCACACGACTTGCACCACACTTTCACGACCAGCTCTTTACCTTCCTTCTTCGCCGAGTTGAAGCCTATGTCCTCATCTACTTTCCAGCTGAGGAAAGTGGACAACTGCACACTGTTCCCTTTCGACATTTCTACTGCTAGCAGCAGCAGGAGATCACCAACAAGGGATCATGTCGCAAGGAAAGAAAACAACTGGTATGATCAACTCCAGTTGACCAATTGGCCTTTTTCTAAGAATAAGAGGACGAAAGCGCCATTTGGGTGCATTTACTTGCAACGCGTGCACTAGCAGAACTTCCAGAACTACTAGTCTATGTCAGACTGCGGTCTATCTTGCTACTCGGACCCGCCAGGCGCTAGTTTAGAGGGTTGTACGGACCCCTGCGCTGCATGCAGGGGTCCGTAAAACCCGTTGAACTGGAGTGTTTCATGAGTGGTGGTAGATCTACGCGGCACAGCTCTGACTAGTTCAAGCCGCAATCATTCATCCAGACGTGTGAAATGCCCCGAGGTCATGCCAGGCTAGCTGGGCGCGCCAGTGCAGTGCCTGTGTCACACTCACAGTGTACGTGCAGTGAACTAACTTGCCTACTCAGTACTGTCAAGAGTCCAGAGGGGGGTTATGGACTCTTGGTACTGTGCATGTCACTACACATGACTAACTCACTGTCTAGTCTGTTTCATAACAGCGCGAGCGGGCACAGTTCCGGCCTGCGCACGGATCGATGAGTGCACTTGACACCATACTGTATACACTCGTACTAGTCATAGTACAGTAGTAGTTGCGCTGCACTCCGAAAAGCGTACATGCAGCCAAAAATAGTTTCAGGCGCGCGACAAAAAGTGCACCTTCCAAGAAAATAAGGCGCGCGATGGCGCGCGAGAGCGATCGCTCGCCTCAAATCACAGGGTCTGGGCTCATATACATGTACATATAGGGGGCTCACATACATGTACGTATAGGGGGCTCACATACATGTACATAGGTGGGGGGGGCAACATGTAGGCAGACGACAATAGCGAATGTGGTGCTAGATTGTGTGGATTTTGATCCCGGGCTGCCCGTTACAGTCGCCCTTGAACCAGAGCCGATTTATACATGCTGGCACAAGGCATCGCTTTTCTGGGCCGTGCTTGAAGGCAGCAGGTCAATGTCGCGATCGCAAGGTGCATGGACCACATATCACGTAGAACTTCCAAAACCCGGGGTCGAAGCGCGCATGATGTTGGATACTACAAATGATCCCGTGCTGTTTCCCTGTGTAGTAGGACTTCCTAGTGCACATCATGACGGTGTGGTGTAGTTTAGCAGCACAACTGGCAAGACGACTACACATAATGTCCTCTTCCAGTACAAAACCAAATCGAAATTCGATTTACTGCGGCAAATTTTCTTTGCTGCTTCTGGAGACCTTTGCATGAGACTCCGTAACAGAGATGTATCATCCCATTTGGGGCACATTCGATCATAAAAATGAGAAGAAACAAACAGAATGCATGTGCTTCCAAGTGTTGTGACAAGATTCCGGATGAAGCGAATTTCGTGAAAATGTGAATGTGCGTAAACCCGTGTGCATACGTGTGTGTATTTTGTGTGCTTGTGCATGTGCAACGGCGTCTGCTCCAGAGCCGGGCCAGTGGCCCGGTTGAATGGGGGGAGGGGGTACTTGGACCCGTTTGGAAAAAAAGAAAGCCGGGTCTCTTGCGACCCGGTTTAGAACACATGTACATATATATCAGGGAGTAGAATATTTACGGCTCCCTGATGTACATGCAGTAGCCGCACTTATACAGACCCGGTTGCAAGACTTGTGCCAGGTACACATTTTTTTTGGAAATACTAGAGCAGACTCTGGTGTAGCTGATGGTGCTGCTAATGCTGTTTACATGGTGCCGTTTAGCATACAGTGGTCGTGATGGTTGTGATTTTTCTCCTCCTTGTGCTTCTCTTTCTCTCTCACTCTCTCTCTCTCTGTCTCTGTCTCTCTCTCTCTCTCTCTCTCTCTCTCTCTCTCTCTCTCTCTCTCTCTCTCTCTCTCTCTCTCTCTCCCGTCTCACTCTACCTTTCCTGCTATTAATTGTTGTTGCCATGCATAATGGCTACAGTCTGTGACAGGTAATGCTGGATCAGATGATGTCAACAGCTACTGGTCAGTGTCTGGTCCCAAGGAGGCTAACAGTTCACCATGCAAGCGTGGGTAGGTAACTAGAACATATGATTCATTAGTGACCTGGCTCAGACACATTGTTAATTCTCCTGAGACCGTCAGGTGATATCAGCACTGTATGTGTCGATCTCCTGGTTGCTTCAATGGATTTGGGAGCTGTGGTTGACTTTCACCCCTCACCTTTGATTGGCAATTACATGCTATGGGATGTGGAATAAATAAATTTGTCAGTGCTGTCTGTGGCCTATCATCACCCTGGGCCCTCACTGACCATCCTGTATGCTTCCGTTCGTACTGCATGCCTGTTAGAACATGTGATCCTGTAGTGATCTGGCTCAGACACCGTGTAGCTCTTCTGAGACGGTCATGTGATATCTGCCTTGTGCGGGTCAATCTCCTGGCTGCTTCAGCGGAGTTGTCACTGCTCTCGGTTTTCCGTCGTTACCCTGGGTCCTCGTTGACCATCCTGTATACCTCCGCTCTGACTCGATGCTCTTTACGAACTTATCTGGCTTTTAGACTAAGCGTTAAAGGGGAAGTTAAGGCAAAAATTAAAATTTCACCAGTTGTAGTCTTCGGGGTGCTGAGTCGAATGGTCTTGGTCCGAGAAAGCTGAGACGCTCCCTTCCTACTTGAATCCCAATCGAACTCGCCCACTTCCACCGAAACTGGGTGACTGCGCCCTACTAGATGGGGATTTGTATGCAAAATGTCACTAAAAGCGCCATTTCGTTCTTATAAAAGCACGGATGACCGCGATTGGCCCATATGTTGTAGTCTTTTGGACGCTGAGTCGACTGGTTTTGGTCCGAAAAGGCTGCGATGCAGCGTTCCTCCTTTATTCCCAATCGAACATGGTTGAAGAAGCGGTCACGTGCTCCTGGGTGCCAAATTACCTGGTCACCACGCCAGCAGGCGACAACTTTCCCACCAAGGTTCAACTCGAGTGACAGGACTGCACCCAAAAAAGGTCAAACAGGTTAGTAAGTTGTACCCTGCAGGCCTGGTATTAGTGTTGACACACATAGACATACCTGGTTTGAATAGGAGCCCGATGTAAATAGAAGCCTGCTGTAGTGCGTTTCAAAAGTCCTCTGGTTTCGAAAAAACGTTAGGCCAGCATCTATACCACATAAAATCTGTGATCACTTTGTGCATACAATTTTCGAAATTGGGCATCTGTAATCCAATCGCTTAGATATCTACATGAGAAAAATTGCGTGAGCTGCCTGAGCAATATTCCGAAGAAATTTCTCAAAAAGCTCAAACCAAATTTGATTTATTCAAAAAAGTCTAGAGGTCTATACTTTTGAAACGCACTATAGCCCTGACTTCGGCTTCTTCAGGAGTGAGCCCGACTTAGTGCGCGACATTAATTTACTGCATTTGTATTCCTTTTTCTGTGTCTCTCTGTCTGTCTGCTTCCGTATAATTATGTGTACAATCTGCAGTGAACCGATCAAGTGCAACGGCAAGATTCGCCTTCGCCATTCCACGACGAACCGTCATCTGCACAGTCACCACTTCCAGTCGCCGCTGAGCAACAACCAGGAAGTCAGCGCTTACGGCGACAAGGAACATTCCGACACAGGTAGGATGGATGTCAGGTGTGTGTGTGTGTGTGTGTGTGTGTGTGTGTGTGTGTGTGTGTGTGTGTGTGTGTGTGTGTGTGTGTGTGTGTGTGTGTGCAAGACAACTGATGGAGAAGGCAGTGGAGCACGATTCTGAGCTATATGTGCTTTTCGTCGATCTGCGCAAGGCCTATGATTCCATTCCACGGTCTGCTTTGTGGCTTGTGCTCCGCAATCTGGGCATTCCTCCGAAGCTGCTTGGCCTTGTCCAGTCGCTCCATTAAGGCATGGAGGCGCGTGTTCGGCTCCCTAACGTCGTCACGGACAACATCAACGTCCGGAATGGCTTGCGTCAGGGCTGCACACTGGCGCCTATGCTCTTTAATCTGTATTTCTCTGCAGTGGTCTCTTCCTGGCATCGCCAGTCTTCTGTTCCGGGTGTACGGGTCCGCTACCGTGTCGGCAGGAAGCTTGTTGGGGACCGGACCGCCAAGTCTCGACCGGCCTCCACTGACGTCACAGAGTCCCAGTTTGCTGATGATGCGGCTCTCTACACCACCTCTTTGAGCCACCTGGAGACGATGACAAGCGAGTTTGTGTCCTGTGCTTCGGGTTGTGGTCTAACAGTGAGCGTCCAGAAGACCAAGGCCATGGCGGTGAACTGCTCTGACCCGCCACCTTCCATTGATCTTCAGGATGGAGGAAGCGTGGAGGTTGTGGACAGCTTTACCTATCTTGGCAGTGTCCTGAGTGCAGACGGTGCTCTGGACAAGGAGCTCACCTCCCGCCTTGCCAAGGCCTCTCGTGCTTTTGGCGCTCTCCAAAAGCCAATCTTCGGGTGTAGCGGCCTATCCATTAAGTCTAAGCGTCTTGTCTACAAGGCCATTGTCCTCCCTACCCTCTTCTGTGGAGCAGAGACTTGGCCCATGAAGGCCCGGCAGATGAATCGCCTGAATCTATTTCATCGCTCATGCGTCCGTTCCATCTTGGGAGTCTCAAGGAGCGATCAGCACTCCCGTCATCTTACTACTGCGGATCTAGCCCAGAGAGCGCGTCTTCCTGAGGACATTGGCACTCTCCTGCGTGAGTACCGTCTGCGTTGGCTGCGTCATGTTGCCCGTATGGACGCGGCCCGGATTCCTCAACAAGTGTTGTTTGGGGAGCTCGAGGCAACCAGACCACGGCATGGGCCAAAGAAGCGTTGGCGAGACACGATTGTCGGTGATCTGCGCTCGCTGGATATTCCGGAGTCCGAGTGGTATCGGCTCGCACAAGATCGCCCGGAATGGCGCAGGCGGGTCCATGAACATCGTCTTCCTCCCCCGGCACCGAAGGACTTTCACTGCGCATGCGGCAGAGCGTTTAGGAGAAGTGGCTATTTGAAGCGTCACATCAAGTACTGCCCAACTCAGTAGCCTATCATCTCCACTGGAGATGGGGCGTCAAAGGTGTGTGTGTGTGTGTGTGTGTGTGTGTGTGTGTGTGTGTATCCAAGTTCCCTTCTCTGCTGTATGGTTTGCCCTGGGGGTTTGAACATGTGTTGGTGGGGAGTCGAGCATGGCAAACTTGTCATCGTACCCACTGAGCAGCTCACTCTGCCACCGCAACTGATCAATCAGAGAAGTTGGGCTTGGCTCGACTTTACAATGCAATGTGCTATGCAAACCTTGTCCTGCAGCAAACGTTGGTAGTTTGGTTCAGTTTAGGATTTGCATGTAGATTCGGATATGTACTACACAGCTATCGTAAGCCAGGTAGTCGAACGCCTAGCACACCGTAATATTCCGCTCTGATCAAAATCATCTTGATGACATCAGTTGGCTGACTTTCCTGTGATGCGCGCTTTGCAAATTCGTATTGCTCTTGGGTGGGGTAAAAATAATTGCGTTAACAGGATACATCCATTGTGCTGTTGCTGATGTTCTAGGTGATAACTGGCAAGTTGTGTGCAGCGGCAAGGTATGGCGGAAAGACACCAAGGTGCAACTCAAACACGTAGATACCGACAAGTAAGTCCTCTGGTGTGGGTGTGTGTGCGTGTCATTCTCTCCTTTCTTACTCTCTCTCTCTCTCTCTCTCTCTCTCTCTCTCTCTCTCTCTCTCTCTCTCGCTCTCTCTCTCTCCCTCTCTGTTTGTTAACATAGTCTGCATTTTTGTTTTCCTGATGATGGTAATTTTATGACCGAAACGTCGAATTGAATTTGTGAACATCAGTGATTGAGTATAAGCCAGTGTTGCTCACAAGCCATTTTTCACTTATGAAGCTGCGCAATTTTTAATGAGTTTTTATGCCGTTTATTTGGTTGTTGAAACTATTCGCGTAACTTGCAGACAGTATATAACCCCAGGGTGCCTCAATCTACTTTGTAAGATTTTAGAGTTTAACGTTGTGGGAAGTTGAATCACAAGCCTGAGGTACAGGAGGAGGCCTTGCAATTAGAGGATAGTGTCACTGTGCACCGTTCCTCCCGGTCTCTTCCGTTGTGCAGTAGAAGCTCATACTCCACCGCACTTTCTGTGTATTCTTGTTGTTCCTCACCGGTATGCTCATTTGTGTGTCTGTGTGTGTCTGTGTGTGTGTGTGTGTCTGTGTGTGTGTCTGTGGTGATCGATTCATATGGCTTCGCCAGTTGTGTGTATTAGACAGTTATCTGGCGCAAGTCTTAATCTGTCTCATTCAGATCTTGTTCGCTATCGTTGCTATAACTAGTATAAGAGAACATCTGTGGGCGCACATCCAGTGCATTTGCAGATTTGCGTGCTTCACTTCCGACGGGCGTATACATGGTACATGGTGTGTGTGTGTGTGTGTGTGTGTGTGTGCATGTGTGTGTGTCCACGTACTTTTGTATGCTTGCCTCCTGCAGGTACCTGTATGTGCAAGGTGCGACGTTTGGCCACCCCATTGCCGGCCAGTTTGAGGTGTCAGCTTTCGGATCGTCATCTCCCGACACACACTGGAAGGCTATGGTGAGTATCTCAATCCTGTTACTCTAGCCCTTTATTCTGAACGTCTTGTTTTTGGCATCCTTGACTTCTTTGTTGCCGAGTCTGCCTGGCCACTCATAGCATGGAACCCGTTGCCGTCCTTTGCTCACTTCTACCCTCTTTTCGTCTTTGACTGTTTCACTGTGTGCACTGAATTCCTTGGGCACCACCCTGTAAGATGATTGTATTCGGCTTTGTCCCCAAGTAACAACGACGAGAGACGAAAATAACAACAACTGCAACTGCAGCAATAGTAACAAAAAATGTCTATACATGTAGATACATGGTATTATGTAGGTACATGTATACATCTGTGTGATTGTGTGCTTTGAGTGTGTGTGTGTGTGTGGGGGGGGGGGGGGGGGGGCTGGTCAAAGCCGTAAATCTGACATAAGGCTTTTGCAAATGTCGTACTGATTCGAAATTGCAGGTGTTTGTGCCTGTGAGTGACGACACAGTTTTGTTCCGAGCCTTTGGGCAATAAAGATCAGGCAACTGTTACGGCAGAGGCGTTAGCTGCTCTTGAGATTGACGGTTGTTGGAATATGTCGCATTCTTTTCTGTGCTCATCCCGTGCAGGAGGGTGTATTTATCAAGCCAACAAAGAAATAAACAACTCGCAACTCTCTGCTCCTAGGACGATTTTCAACTGCTCAAATTCTCAATTTTTGTTTACTTGCTGGGACTCTGCTACTTTGAAGTACTTTCCGCTAGGACCTGTATGGTCCTGCTCCCCCAAGCTCACTGGCCCGTAACACACAGCCAGCCTATACAAGAACTCATCCTTCGTTGTGTGCATGCGTGCGTGTTTCGCCGCCACTTGCATGCTCAGAGTATTAAATTTTATCAGCTCTTCTCTTGTGTGCGCTTGCTCGCCAGCTCGCTGACTCTACCTTCTATCCTGGCCAGTGCAGTTGGTATTATTTGCTTGCTCCCTGGAAGCATGTGTGTATACATTACATGGCAGCTCATTGCTGGTGTTTGCCCGGTATTGGTTGGTTGACAACCTCTTCACTGTCAATCCGATCACCTATCATAGTCATAGGATTTGATTCCCTGGCAACCATGACAGTCGTCAAGGTGAAGAGATAAGAATGCGTTGGTTGCTATCTCGTTTTCGTTTGCGTGGGTAAAGCATGGGTGGGTAAGGCGAAGAGTACGTGCACTGATTCGTCTGAAGTGTGCAACTCCTTGTGAGTCCAGGGAAAGTGAAGGCCTTGTTCGTGTGGTTTTTAATCCGTCATAGGAGGTGCAGAGGTGTGATCTGTGATACCAGTTTGTGGTGTAGGTCTACCTTGATTAAAAAAAAACAATGAGAAGGACGACTTGCATGCGCTTTCCTGAACCCGTGTGTGGAATCGTATGCTCTGGGTTGTGTACAATGTACTTTGGTTTTCTTTGTAAGACAAGTTGACAAGATTTTTTCAAGTCGCCTTCAACATACTTTTGCAGGCAGTTGCTTTTGCGTAGTGTGAATGCGGCCTTACTGCTGCGTAGCGGTGATCGATGCAACTTCAAGTACTTGGCCATGTATTCAACATTTCAAAGCAAAAATCATTGTAATGTATGCGAAAGACCAAGCAACAGGTGTAGTGGGAATCAAGGTGTAACGTTACCAGTTACAACTCCCTGATGTGTGGCATTGGGCCTGGCCATGCAAGGATCGACCTGAAGGTCCTCCACACTCTGTTTTGTATGCAATACATTATAATGCATGTGTGTGGTCCATGATTACGTGACAGACTGGCCCTTGTCATGGACCCAGTGAGCAACAGCTAGTGCAGCTAGCTGCAGGTCCCATCACACAAGCATACACGGAACAAGGATAATGCTAATGGGCCGACTCTCTCGAATGGAGGCATACGCGTGAGTGCACGCACGCATACACATACATGTACATCCTGGCACATGCTTGCACATTAGATAAACCAACATGCTTGCACATGTACGAGACGTTGCCCCCCGTCAGAGCATTCACCCCCAAATGGGCACCATTCTGCCAAAAGAACAGCACCGACCCAGTACATGCGACCAACCGGTAATTTCACTAAGACGCAAATTTTCATTGAAAATGTCTTTTCTCCCAAGTAACCCACTCGCATTTAGTGCTAAGATAGAGCAGAGAGCACAAAAGGAAAGCCTAGGCTGGCATAAGTTTAAAAGTCTAGAAGTAGGTCGATAGCAAACAAGTACATACCGATAATAGTACTAATCGTTCACAATGATTCCTGGAGGGTGAGGATATGATAATTTTTCTGAAAAAAATTGTACATGCATCATGGCACTTCTGAATTTAGGGTGGAAAAACACCCATCGTTGGTAGTAAAATATCAATTTTGAGCTTGACAAACAAGAACTTATAGAAAGAAGAAGAAGTAAAGGAGAGAGAAGGTCATGATGGAACTGCTTCAGCACGGCACATACTGCTAACTGTAAACGGCCCGCAGAAAACCATCCAACAATGCAATCACACCCACGTTTTGGAAGCTTATAGGGTGGAAGGGGTGAAAGACAAGAAGCAGCAGCATCAGAAGGATTACAAGTACTGGTAGACTCCTGCCGATTTAGAAAATGTCACCAATACTTTAATCGGCTTGCTACTCTTCTATTCGGCCGGGAAGCGGCGAGGCTTGCACGCTGGACCTGCGGCCTTCCAGCTCCGCCGCCTCCTGTTCCTCGGCGTCCGGGTCCTCCTGGACGACGGAGACCTTCTTGGCCTGTGGCGACGGCAGTCCCAGCGTGCCTCCGAAGCCACTGGACGTGCTGGAGTTGCGTGACATGTTCACACGGGGTGGACCTGCAAGTAATGAACAGCAAAGGAACAGTGTGTTCACTGATGATATTCACTGAGAACCAATTGTGAGGACCGGAAAAAGGAAGTGGAGGCGAATTCCCTTGTGAGCCCATTTAATCGAATTCTGGACGTCAGACCTGGCAAACAACGACACTTACTTGATATGCGTACATGGCTATTGCAAATACCGAAATCAAAATTTGATGAAATATTTCATTTCTTTAAATGGTTAAAATTGACTGTCACCACCAGGCCTCGAACCAGGGACCCTCGCCTAACTACCAGTAATGCCCACTAAGCTATGGTGTAGTTGTCATCCTAGCAGCGACCGTTCCACATTTTCTTCAAACTTCGAAACTCATGCTTCCTGGGAACTCACCCAGGCTCGTGGGACGCAGCTCTCACTGATGGCCAGCCATGCTCTACCACCAAGCTACGATGCTGTTGTCATCCAAAAAAAATCGCGATCATTTAACATTTTCTTCACACGTCACTATGATCGTAAAAAAAAAGCAGTCCTACAGTATTGTAATTGGCTCTGTAGCTTACCGGCTGATGCAAATTGCGGAGGTCCGGCAAAGGCATTCCGGGGACTGTTGATGCCCATCCCTGCGGGACCACCCTGGGGATTTCCCGCATCCGTTGGTACGATACGACCTCGGTTGGTGCTCAGGGTGGAGGTCTGCCGGCTCATCGGCAGGTTTCCAGGACGTGATAAGCCTATGGTGGGAGCATAATGCAAAAAAAGCACGCAAAAACGTACCTATGTCACACAATCTTGGCCGCTGAGAGAAAGAGAGGGAGAGAAAGAATGAGGAATGAGGAAGAGGGAGAAAGAGGGTTAAAAAGTGTGTGCATGTGTGTGTGTGTGTGTGTGTGTGTGTGTGTGTGTGTGTGTGTGTATGTGTGTGTGTGTGTGTGTGTGTGTGTGTGTGTGTGTGTGTGTGTGTGTGTGTGTGTGTGTGTGTGTGTGTGTGTGTGTGTGCATGTCCGACAGGGAGAGAGTGTGTGGGTGAGATCGAGAGAGAAAGAGAGAGAAAGAGGGAGAAATACAGGGAGCGATTCAGGGGAAGGGGTCAATTTCTTCGTTCACATTTGAACAAAGATATTTTCAAACAGAGAAGCAGGTACTGGAATCGTTGAAATAGAGCAAGAGAAAGAGTAACAACAGGTAAGGATAAAGAAGAAGAAGAAGAAGAAGAAGAAGAAGAAGAAGAAGAAGAAGAAGAAGAAGAAGAAGAAGAAGAAGAAGAAGAAGAAGAAGAAGAAGAAGAAGAAGAAGAAGAAGAAGAAGAAGAAGAAGAAGAAGAAGAAGAAGAAGAAGAAGAAGAAGAAGAAGAAGAAGAAGAAGAAGAAGAAGAAGAGAGAGAGAGAGAGAGAGAGAGAGAGAGAGAGAGAGAGAGAGAGAGAGAGAGAGAGAGAGAGAGAGAGAGGGGGGGGAATATACACCACAGATTTAGTCATAGAAACACGAGATGTAAGAAAGGATTGAAGCCACACAAATTTATTTACCTCCCGTAGAAAATGTTGAAGAATTACGGGTCAGCATAGGACCATTCCCGGACGCCTGAGAAGTTGACTGTCGGCGCAATGGCGGGGGAGAACTGGAAAACTGACCTGTTGGACTAACCGGAACTGGTGAGCTTGCACCCACCTGGGCCATGGGTCGTAGCGTTGGCAGGACACCACCATCACCATCTGTCGGCCCTGGAACTACATCTGGAAACACAAAACGGAACCAAAGGCTGGTTTAAGGAAAAGCGAAAGGGTTCGACATTCAGGTTGTCGATCAGCCCGCGCAAAGCCCCGATCACAACGTCGACGACTTGACGGTCTTCCACAGCCTGCAGACAGACGGTTCACTCGTGGCGAAGGAAACCAGAAAGGAACTTCGGCAGGCTGTGGAAACGTGCTGGCACGAGTTCCCCCTCTGCCAAGATGAATGTTGGGTTGTGTCTGCATGGTTCCTTCCATGGCATTCTGGAGAGTGGCGGAGACAACAATTACCAGCGCCACCGTGAGGGTCGTCAAGCTCACAGTTCGAGCGAAGGACTAGGTGGGGGGGGGGGGGAGAAGAGGGAGAGAACAGAAAAGAGAGAGACAAGGATAAAGAGGCAGGGTTTACTTAATGCCGAGGAACGGGGACACGGCCGAAAGGGTAGCACCATAGCTACAGTTAGTTTAGGGGGGGGGGGGTAGTTAGGTTGGGGTTAGAAACAGAAACAGCACTTACCATTCAGGCCGCTCAGAGAGATTTGGCTGACACTTCTTTGGTTAGAGAGCTGACGTCTTAAGCGCTGGTTCTCCTGCTGAAGTGAGTGAACCTTATGTGAGAATAAAAGATGAGACAGACAGAAAAGTCTTTCGATACTAGTGACTGTACTGGAGATGAGAATTTCAAGCATCTCACATCGTGTGGTGGTGCCTTTCCCGGCATTAGTGGAGTGGCGAAGTCGGCGAGAGGGGACCAGGGGCAGGGTCACTCAGGGGAGCAGAAGCAGTATTGGGGGGGGGGGGTAGCATTGAGGGGAATGGATTAGCAACAGGACGGACAAGCACTATCCTCTGGTCTCAATCCGTTCCACAGTAGCCTGGCACACATGCAGTGTGCCAGGGTACACTTGCTGCAACAGCAGTGTCGTGCGAGGTTAAAAATAGAAGAAGAAAAAGAGTGAATTATCGTGTCCGTTCCCGAACGGAACTCACGACGGCCATTAACACCCTAGCGGCAGATGCGTGTGAGGTAGTGACACAAATTAACATGACGTTCAAGCTTAGCACTCACCTTGGTGTTGGACTCACGCATGGTGCATAGGTAGCAAACGTACCGCTCCCACTTGTCGTTTTTGAACTGAGCAGAACACACGGAGAAAGAGCACATTCGTCTAGTGCGGACACAGACGCATGACATCATCACCCGGAGATCACACTCCGGCAAGCCAGACACATGACGTCATCACCCGGAGATCACCCTCCGGCAAGCCAAACTCCGGTGAGAATGCACGTGATGCGGAAGTTGGCAAACTCGTCAATTATCCCACACGGGATACAGATTAGAAAGGAGAGGAAGGTTTCTTTGAAATGAATAAGTTACTGTATTGCAGGAAATTTTCGGACGGAAATATTTTCCGACAAAGCCGATTTTCGACCTTCCGTACGGATTTTATTTGCGTACAGTGCTGCATGCTAAATGCACGTGTTCGCATGTATAGTGTACATAACTTCACAGGGACAAATTTTAGAACGGAATTAATCGTACGAAATCGTACGAAAATAAATTCTGTCTGAAAATTTCCTGCTATACGGTAATGTGCTCTTCCTTAGCCTACATTTGTATTGTAAACCTGAGCAATCAATGTCGCCCCTGCAAGCAAGATAAGAGCGATGTTTGTTTTACTATTTTCACTCTGATGATGGCCTACGCATGAACATTTGGCGTAAAATTTGCTGAACCGGAAGTGACCTCTGCAGCGCAGAGACACGTTCAGAGCTGCCACTCTTCTACGAGTGGAAATCTGAGCGGCCCACTCCTAGCCGGGGGAGGGTTGGGAGTATAATAGTATAGTAGTAAGGAAGACAGAGATCCATTTAGAAGCCAATGCACTTGTCAAAATTTCAGGGGCCGAAACATTAGATTAGGGCGCATTCCTGAACAATCGAGTTCAGATAATGCAGCAGATTTTCGGACGGTTTGTCAGAACTACGTGTAAAAATCAGAACGTGTCCGAAAAATTAGAACAAATTGCAACCATGCAACTTGTGCATGGTTGGATTGGCACAATGCGTAAATGGCTGCAACGGAGCTTTCACATCCTTAGAAAAGTAGTTTTCCGCTCCAGTTACCTTCCATATGTAGAACAGTCCGAGCGCGATAATGATCACAAGGAGGACGACGATGACAATGGCCGCTATGACACCACCCGACGTACCAGAGCCTGTTCCTATTACAGCTTGAGCACAGGTACCCACACATGCTGCAAGAACATGGAAGATGCACAGATGAAGTTATTGATACAAAGGAACGCACAGAACAACAACGACGACGACGACGAAAACCAGAACACATGAATACACACACACACATACTCGTATGCATATATACGTAGGCATGCGTGCACGCATATTCGAAGCACACCCACACAAAAACACACACACCAGGATTCCGTCATCAGCTTGCTTACCTAGCTGTTCGCACACGTAGAAGAGGCCCGAGTCTTCACTGCACCCCAGAGTGGATATGTGAACACCATCCGACTGCATCGTGGCACAATCATGGTCCTGTCCTCTGCTGCCTGGTTGCCCCGGTGCCCACAGTTCACCTGGGAAGTTTGCCGGTGCGGCTGTCGAGCCCTGTCCAACCCACCGGTATATTCCTGTGAAAAAGAGGTAGCGGCGATTAGACACAGGCTATGAACTTCACTAAGCAGCTGCTTCGGGACAAGCCAGATAAGACACTCTATCAGCACAGCGCTGTGCACACTCTCTCCAATAGGGGGGATACAGTCTACTTCGCTAATAGCGACTGCGGATGATATACGGACAATTCGCGAATAACGACAGCATTTCCATGCCCAGAGCAAAGTCCCATCGAAATGAATACATGTAATGAGACTTCGGGTATAACGACACTTTGCGAATAAGGACACTTTTCTGATGCCCCGCCCGGGGTGTGTTTATACGCAAAGCTGACTGTACATGTTAACAGCAAGCGGGTGCTGAGTACCTTCCTCGTCTTTGTCAGTGAGGCCGATCCAGACTTCGTAGCTCTCGCCTGTCCGTGTCCCGTTCTCGATCATCTCCCTCACGAAGTTATACTGCTCCCTCGTGGACACCACCGCAAGATATCTACGGAAAGCAAAGGATAGACATCAATGAAGGATTCATAGGCGGTATCGGGCAGGGGCAGGGGAGGGGGTGCCACGTCCCAACAACTTTCTGGTTCGTACTACATCAGTACATGTTCACGTGCCTGCTTCTCTTCACGTTTTTTGGCAGTGCACCCTCAAGCTCAGTGAATGTCAGCTGCACATGAAGTACAAATGAGATATGTGGTCATTGTGACTTCAGTCACTAAACGAAAACGTACAATACAGTGTGTAGACATATTTCTTTCATATCTTTCATATTCTTCTCGAACCCAAGAGAATATAATAGCGATGCAGGTTCGTGCGTTGCAAGTAAGTTTCTAGGCAACGTACTCATTACTGTCATCACAGGGCGATTCGTAATGGATCTCACTCTCAGTCAAGTGCAATAGAAAAAAACTAAAGAGAAACTTGGGACAAGGAAGAAGCGGTAACATCTTTCCTTACCCATCGTTGTAGCCTCTGCAGCTGACGTGAGCAGTGAAATAATTCTTTCGTGTCTGCCTGAACGAGTAGCACACTGATCCAAACTGCTTGAAATCGGCATCTGGACATCCAGCTACAAACACACCAAAACACGACAACAGACACTGCATTGCAATTTGAAGGCCCTTTTCATAAGGCTTTAGTACTTTGTGTCAACTTCGACTGAAAAAGACAATGCATGATAGATATACACCGAATACTGCAACCACAGAACCCACTTACCGGCCGCTGCGCCGACTTCAAATGTCAGCTGCGTCGAGAGAAAGGCGATGAGGAGGCAGAGGACGACCGACTGATGGTCAAAGTGTATCCAGGATCGAACTGAGCTGGACGTTCCCAACCTCTTTTTGCCTATGCGGTGCGTGATTTTGCCATGCTTCACAGCCATCGCTAGAGATTGTGGGCTGGAATCATGCCCACCTTTTCGGCGAGGAAATCGCGCTCGGGGTGATCCGCTGGAATTGGCTCGCGTGGTGGGTGAGAAACGTGCTGTCTTTCGTCGAATCGTTGTTGAAGCTGCACCGGTACGGCTTGACGCGCCGCAATCCATCAGCAAAAGGATCAGTGCCAGTTCACACGTCGTCGAATCGGAAGGTCTTTCAGCCTTCTCGCCAAGCAGAGCCAGCACACTGTTTGCGATCACTTAGAAGGCCGGATTGCTTATGGATCCCCTTCGTCGGCACTCTGGAATGCCGCTCGTTAGATCGACCGTGAAGTCAAAGCACATTTCAGGTGGAGGAAAGCTACAAACGACACCGAACAGGCTGAGCGATCAAAGAGTGTAGGGTTTGAAAGCCAGCATTGCTGCACGATGCTCACTCTGAACGGACCGGTCGGCAAGCCTAAGCACGGATTCAGTATCTGCGAAGTGCGAGTGGTCCGGGCATTCGAGCATGCAAGATTCTCCTGACCTACTACAACTAATTACTTGTGAGCTGCTATGCGCAGCGGGTGTGAGGAGACCGGACTAAGGCAGATACATGTACCATACTCCATAGCTGCCCCGAGATCTACAGATCTACGCGAGTCTGCGAAGAGAACTACACACAGTCTACCAGGTCTACACTGACCTACACGGGCTGTCAAGCCTCCACGCAAAGTCAGGTGATGCGGAGTGCTGCTGCTCGCCCTCCGAGCATGCGACGTGACATCCTCCCTAGTCCCGACCCACTGAAACTGTCAACAAATGAGGACAGCCTGTGGACAGGAATGCGCCTCGTCTTGGTGATCAGCGAGCATTTGACAGCTTCTGGGCTGAGTAGCCAAGGCAACGCGTCCAACTGTAAACAACCACTCCCTCTGCTAGCTGCTCTGGTAGGAATAATTATTTTGTGAAATTTCAGGCAGTATGATGTATGGCTGAACTGTATGCTTCGTCACAGGGGAAGGGGGGGGGGGGGGGAGATATGGCCCGGCTTACCATGCAGCAAGTGCGAAAGGGTTACGCGTTATCCGTTGTCCAAGGAATGAAAATACCAATAGAATCCTCTCGACATAATCATGAACAAAAAAGCAATGAACAATGAACAACACTATGCAACATAGTCGTAGCAGTTCACATACACGTAGCAGGAGGGGGGGGGGGGGAGGTACAGGTAATACGTATGATACTGAGACAAGCGAGATGTGACCTTCCACTACTGCAAGGATCTGAGGATGTGGGAGATCGACGAGAGCTCAGTAGGAGGAGTGCAATGGCTAGGTAGCAGTATCACACCTACTTGTACAATGTCATGCCGAGTTGCGACAACCCTGTAAAACTCCACTCTCTCCAGTGTGCCTTTTGTGTGCACAATGTCATGTACATGATTGTATAGATTTATTCTAGACTGTAGCGTCAGAGCGGCGCAGACAAGCAATGCAAGAACCCATGAGAACGCAGCAGAGCAAACTGAATCCTGCATCAAATGAGCCTGTGAACCCTGGGGATAGTGCATAATATTACTCATTGGGCAGGGCCCCACGTACCGCTGTTGTATATGTACATGTATGCCAGTATGGAGAGGATCTACGTTCCATGTACCATGATGTACTGGATAAGAACAAATTTTCATTCAAGAAATCTTTAGTTATTTCACTCCACCAGCAGGCTTATTACGTACTAAATTTTGTTCTTGGTCGAGGTCTGTCACCCCAAACGTTCAGAAAAAAACTTCATTTTGGTACAAACTTTAGTTATTTCGTGCCCCTTAAAGGGGAAGTATACCCTAAAATCAAATTTACACCAGTTGTAGTCTTCGGGGTGCTGAGTCGAATGGTCTTGGTCCGAGGAAGCTGCGACGCTTCCTTCCTACTTGAATCCCAATCGAACTCGCGCACTTCCACCGAAACTGGGTGACTGCGCCCTACTAGATGGGGATTTGTATGCAAAATGTCACTAAAAGCGCCATTTCGTTCTTATAAAAGCACGGATGACCGCGATTGGCCCATATGTTGTAGTCTTTTGGACGCTGAGTCGACTGGTTTTGGTCCGAAAAGGCTGCGATGCAGCGTTCCTCCTTTATTCCCAATCGAACATGGTTGAAGAAGCGGTCACGTGGTCCTTGTTGCCCAAATCACCTGGTCACCGCGCCAGCAAGCGACAACTTTCACACCAATACAAGGTTCAACTCGAGTGACAGGACTGCACCCAAAAAAGGTCAAACAGGCTAGTAAGTTGTACCCTGCAGGCACTGGTGTACGCAGGAGCACGTGACCGCTTGTTCAACCATGTTCGATTGGGAATAAAGGAGGAACGCTGCATCGCAGCCTTTTCGGACCAAAACCAGTCGACTCAGCGTCCAAAAGACTACAACATATGGGCCAACCGCGGTCATCCGTGCTTTTATAAGAACGAAATGGCGCTTTTAGTGACATTTTGCATACAAATCCCCATCTAGTAGGGCGCAGTCACCCAGTTTCGGTGGAAGTGCGCGAGTTCGATTGGGATTCAAGTAGGAAGGGAGCGTCTCAGCTTCCTCGGACCAAGACCATTCGACTCAGCACCCCGGAGACTACAACTGGTGAAAATTTGATTTTAGGGTATACTTCCCCTTTAACGAATATGGCGAAAGTTAATTCCAAACGAAAATTGATTGTACTTATACAGTAGCATGTACCTGATATACCATGTGTTCGCCCGTCGCAAGAGAAGTACTCAGATCTGCAAATGCACTGGATCATCCGATATGCACCCATAGATTTTCTCTTTATAGCAACGATAGCGGAGCTGATTATGAATGGAACAGACAAAGACAAGCGCCAGATAACTAAACTGTCTAATCCACACCACTGGCCAAGCCATGTGAATCGACCCCCCCCCCCCCCTCTCTCTATCCACACCTGCACAGAGTCCACAGACTCCACAGAGCCATGGCCTCAGACATTCTTGTATCTATTTTCGGCAAAACCAGATCAGGTTCATGGAACGGAACGCAACAGTAGCGAGGTGTCATCTACTTGTAACACTTTCGGCGTCGCTAATCAACGAGCCAATTTCCTCACAGATCTCCATGATTCATCGATTCAGTCCTCTCTACGAGAAATATTTGTACCGGTATATTGAATTATTCGAAAAGACAGCGAGGTGACAACAGTTTTAAAAGGACTGCAATAGACAGAACCAGCTGAAGAGTCATTTTACGAAGATTTTATTGAGGTCCTTTTTTCTCCAAATGCAGCTTATCCATTCGCCTATCATTGGTACTGGTTCCCGTTTATTGTGCGAATTAAAATAGACCAACCAACCATCCAATCAGATGTCACGAGCAAATTCTATAGACAGTATAGTATAATATCGTTGAACTATTCAACATTCATTAGTGTGAGATTGAATTCTTCTCCTGTTTTTCGATGGTTTGACAAGTGCCATTTGCTGAGAATGTTCCGGTCCTTGGCTTCCACTTCCTGGCGAAATGTCTCGTTAGGCCACACTGAAGAAGGTCTGTGGTTCGACTCACCCGACCGACCGTACATTTTTCAGCCCGACCGTAACTTTTTTTCGGCCGGCTGTCGTGTGACTGACGTAGTCTACGTGGACTGAACACGTCCACGTCTACGTGCTGTGCAACGTGAGTCTGCGGACGCAGGCGGCTCCTTTTGGACTTGACTTGTAGTTGTACTGCAGTGCAGTGCAGTGAGTGGTACGACTGCTGCCTTGTGCTGGTAGCAGAGTCTACTCGATACGACCACCGGCAGACTGGCGAGATAGAGATTGCACTTTCCTCGTGTATTGGGAACGATATTTCACCTGTACCGGTAAGTTGCTGCTCCATGTGTGCAAGCACAGGAAGCGTCGATGGAAAAAGCCCATGTATTCGTGCACGCCGACACCAAACTAGCAATACATGTACCGGTACATTGTACAACTTGTACTTCGATTGAGTTCGAAGTAGTTCCCGAACTTACTTTCAACTCGCATCGTTCTTCATTTGCTTGATGATTTGGACAGTCAGAGTCACCGCTTGAAGTTATTCTCTTCTCGTTCCAGAGTTACACACTGTTTCAAAGTATTAGCCAGTGATATCTTTATACAACATGTATGGCATAACTGTAAACACTGCGTAATAATGCCGATGTACTGGGTGTCTAAAGGCAGTACAGTGTATTTACATGTACTAAAAAATATATTTTTTAAAAAAAATCCGCCCGCCCGCCCGTAAAAAAATGTCCATGTTAGTCGAACCACACACCTTCTTTAGTTTGGCCTTATGGTTATTTTTTTCTTCCGACCTTTCCCGTTTGTGTCTTTCCCTCTAACTAGTCGAGATTTTTTGGTTATGTGCAAAATAAAATTGCTACATGTGGGACAGGAACGGCCGGTAGGATAAGATGGAAAATATGCGTACGTTCGAACGTTGACGCTAGTCCTTCTTGACGACTGACTGACATTTGAGTGATTCACGACTGCCGTCCGTAGACCATCAGAGAAATGTCGTACCGGCCACTGACGAAACGGGCAAGAAAGCACCGTCCTCTGCTCAATACACCGTGTTTCACTCCTCATCGTTCGAGTTTGAGTTGGCTGGTGAAATTTGTGCTCCCAGAGCTCCGCGCTACTTGCATGTAGTTAGTAGGGAGGTTTAGTCTCACGTACCGGACACGGAAACGTGGGTGATACACGTAAAGTTCATGCAATGTAATGGACCCACGTTCGCAATGTTGTCTGTAGTCACATGGAGCAAACAAAAGCATGAAGTGAAAGGCCCAAACTTGGTCAAAGACGAAGCAAAGAAGCTCAGCGAATATTTTGATTTCGTGCTTCAGAAACCTCTTCAGCTGAGCACCCTCACAGCTTGCACAATGCGCTCCATTCTAATTTTCACTCACGTTCTGGCGGAACGTGGTTGAGCTTCCATTCACGGTACGGTATGTCGTGAATCAGAAAACGTCTACATAGTCTGTACGTGGATCACCGAGTATCACGTGGTACACACACGTAAAGTACACACGGATTACGTGTGACTAAACCTCCCTAGCCCTAGTGCTCTGTGAGCCAATACGTCATCTACGATTACCTACTTCTTGTTCCTGTTTCCGAAGCCCGGCTTGTTGGCAACTCGCTAACACGGGTAACGGATACAGACTGATCTAATAAAGACTATCATGAAAAGAGTTGTCACTGTGTGCAGATTGTCAAATTTGGAGCATAATTTGGCATCCTCTCGGAGGTAGGAGCATGACTACACGATTATACCACAGTTGTAGTATGTAGGCTATACAATTGTGTACAATGCACCTGATCAGTGCAGGTGGTCTGCATGGTAAAGGCTTCGGAGGTCATGCAGATAGTGTTTTCAATGAAAAGCAGGGTAGAAATCATGGCAATACAGTCACGGTATTACTTGTAAAATAACAATTATCTTTATAAGGATGACAGAGTATTGTATG